AATAGAAATATAATTGACAGGCCGTTTCGCGTGTTGTAATGCGAAAAAACTAGTTCTCGCTGCAATTACCCTGAATACACGACTTGAGGACTTGCACTAAAACTAGTCTCGACACGCAATTTTCGGAACCGTCTAGACATTCGTGCGGAGCTTTGGCATTTTCGAGCAATTTTACAACGTTTCGAATCGAAGCTCCTCCAGCGCGTCTCCAAATAATGGCTTTTTTTACATATTACCCGATTTATCGTATAGTAATAAGCTCGTTGACTGTATAGTTTTACATGAACAACGACTAGTTATTGGTACATAAGAAAAATTCCGCAGGCATATAAAATGCAATGGGCCGTGTTTTCACGCATTAGAATGCTATACATATACTCGCACGTATGATATTTTAGCCGACTTATTTTACGGCCTTCCATTTTACGATTCATATGAGCCGGAGCATTAAAACTTGCACAAAGAGCATCCCAGCTATGGACATCGTAAATTTTGAATCTATGTATGTGCACATTTTTCTCAAATAGCCACTCAAATAACCCCACGTGACAAAGATCGAAATAAATTTTTTTTCAACTTTTCGTACAACAACTTAAAAATGTAAGTGAATTGCGCACAAGTTTTTATTCTACTTTCAAGCTGATGCAAGCCAGCCGGGGAGACACTTTCTTTTGCCGCTGCCGCTATTTTCATTGCCGTTGTGAAGTAGTTGCATTTTTTCATCCAGTATTCGCAGACAAAAGAAAAATTGTGCACGACACGTTGCACGTTTTTGTCTCTTCTTCGGATATGCGTGCTAAAAAAGAAAGGAAAAAAGTCGATAAGAAAGTGCTAGGCCTAAAATCACACGAGTACGCCGCTTCGTCACATGGCAAAAGAGAATTTTTATTTCTCTTTGAGTATGTATTTCCAATTTCGATTCGTATCTTTTCGTTCAATGAAATGTAAAGGCCTGAATCAATGTACACTTAACATGTACGTTGTACTTTTTAATTCTAATGAAATAGCTGCGAATGCAGCAACTGTTAATGTGTGTGCATCATGTGAAAAACTGAAGACATTTTCACTGTAATCCCCTTCCTCGTGCTTAGATGGGCAACAATCCTTATGTACTTCGTAAAAAATTCCTTCTGTGAGCACTGCATTCATTTTCACCAACGAGACAGAACGTTCGACTTTCGCCGAAAAAAGGGTTGCTCTCACCGATTGATTTTATTCGTACGATCTACATGCTTTTCTTCGTAGCGCAGCATTGAGTTTCCCCGAGGGCATCCTTATAGATGCATGTGCCGTTTAGATAAGTACCTTATACATACACACACACACATACAATCGAGCCTTCTGTGAGCTGCCAATCGGTTGGCAGAGGTTTTTTCTTTTTTACCTGGGGCAGCCGACCTGGATCCGGTCGAACGTGGATTTTTCACAAGATTATATACCCCCGCTCATGCATAATCACGGCTCCACAAGGATTTGCAATTGATTAAGTCATTTTTTTGCTTTTGTCAATTGCCATTGATTATTCATGTGCAGCGAACAAATAACGGCAAAGCTGTTATAGAAGAAGAAAAAAGAGTTGAGCGTATAATTTTATGGCTCGACACAAAAAGTCCTCAGGTCGTCAATATTTCTCTCGTGTCTCTTTGTCGACTGTAATGCGTGTGGCTCTTGTTTCCGTTTTTTTTTTTACTCTTTCACGGCTATAACCACTGATGCAATTGCATTGTGGTGTCGGAATATCAAAGTGCGAATGCTTGCACGATTGTTTGTTCGTAGCTTTATTTTTTCGTAAAATTTCAAATGACGAAACTGCAGTAGTAGTGCATGCATCCGAACCCTCCCGAGTTCCATACTGTTTTTGGTTCTACACGAGTATCACCTAATTTTAGAGCTATCAGAGATACTGTGCTTCCTTACACATTTTAAATATAATGTATATTAAGAAAGTTTCGCAGGAGATGCGACAGCTTATTTTATTGATTAGCAATGAACAATTATTACGGGAGCTCGTTATAAGAGACAAGCTCAAAAGTAAGCCGTATGGCTACGTAGCTGTCGCTGCTTACGGCGCTAATGCCTCGTTTTCTCATCGTATATACTCTTTTTATCGGCAATGAAAGGCACTTGATTGAAATTTTTATAAGCATTAGATTCGATAATTAAAGTAAAAGTTTCCGCGCGCTCGTTCATAAATATTGATAGTACGAGAAAGTAAGTTGTCAAGCAATGTCACTGTATATTACAAACGCGAATCTAAATTCGCACGAACACATAATGCGTTCTATAACGCGTGCGTGGGTCCGGGTGGTCGCGTGTACAGTCCCTCCTATAGTTGACAAAGTGCAGCAGCAATGGAACTATTTTAGTACCTATTTTGCTCGATGTTTTCTAAATAAAGTTCAAAGAGCCTTTCCTGCACTAAATGGAATATTTACTACTTGTTTTATAAAAATATCTGGTACGCTTGCATGAAAAAAATGATGTTTTTACTCGTTCCAATTTTTTAAATTACATTCATTTTTATATGCACAAAAAAAATATTCGACATTACTAATAATGGGATCGAGAATGAAGATTTTTTTCAAAATCTTAAGCTCCCAGTAGTCGTTGTTATTGTTGTCGTTTCGAACACCGAAACGATTGACAATAGACGACGTCGGTGTGACTTGTGTCAACGACCTCTCCTGCGGCTTTTCTTTGTGAAAGTATTACATATACGTGCGATAGCGTTCGAGCAAGCGTGTGTGAGTTTTGCAAGAAAAAAAGTGTTCAAAGTGTCGCGCGGAAAGGCCGAAACTATACACCCGCGTGCATGATGCAACAGTTATATCTGGGTATTGGGGTGCTCGCGCGCGACGAGTCCCGACTCCCGAGATGTGTCGCTTGTTCACGCACACGCGACTGCGTCAGATAAGAAGGATTTACAATTAATAAAGCGGAAAACGAAAAGATACGGCCGTTTATTATGGCTCACACGGGTAAGCGCGAGCCTAACCAAATGGAGCCGTGACAGCTAGCGCTTATACGCACCACATTACATCGCAACTGCGCGCGTAACAATCGGCTGCACTACTCGACTATATATTTCGCGCGAGATCTGACCTGATTTATCGGTTGCTTTTACTTTTACCTCACGTGTTACGCATAATAGGCGGCGCGCGCGGGCCACGCGTCACACGCATTGTCAACGACATTTTTACGTCGACTCGGCTTTACTTGCTGCGCTCGACTTTTTCCCTTTTTTAGTTACTCGTGAGCGATATTATTACGACGACATTTATATGCTCAAAGCTTTTTCGTTCTTATTCGTATATCGTCGGGATAAAGAGCTCTTAATTGTTCCTTCGTGTTTAATTTTAAAGTTAAACAGTTTGGTGCTATAATAACTATTTAGGTACAATCCTCCTCAAATCTTTTTTTATGTCAAGTATTTCATGTAAATCATTGAACATGAATTTAAAAATAGTTTACAAAAGAGTTGTTCGAATAATGTTGGATATGTTTTACTAAATTATCTGTTGACAACTCGAGAGACAATATTTGTTCCACTTGAAAATTGTTTTTAAGTGCAATATTGCGTTTTTAGCAATATCGTGTCCTCATTGATTCGTATCATCCTTTATTTGAAATTTGAATCGAGCAGTTTCTATCTAGTTTGCATACAGCTCTATCAATTGATCATTTAATCCGTCTGATTTCCTTTTGCAAAAAGAAAGCCGCCTTCACATGTAAGCCTTTGAGAAAATTAAAGGATTAGCCGCTCAAAGTCCATTGCGCACGTTACTTCCAAATCACTCGTCGTACTCTTACCGCTGCCAGCGTATCTATAGTATAATATTCCACGCTCCAGTATGAAATTACCTCGATTCGCCGCAAAGTCATCAAACTCGATAAACCCTCGCTCGAATTATGAGCGCAATTTCTCATTTTTTGTTCTGCGTAGACGAGCCACTTTTATGTGTTTTATTTTTATTTTTTTTTTTTTTTGGGAAAATGTTTACGTAACCACAGCGACTCGTACACGTAAAAAGAAGAGAAAAATCTAATGCTAAAAACCGTGTGAAGTTTTCGCGAGAGCAGCGGCAGCTCTTATGGTTCATACGGAAGCAACTTACGTTAGATATAATGCAGAGTGAGAGTTTCACAAGATAATTTCGCCGCTACTCTCCTCTCTTCTCTCCTGTCTCTCTCTCGCGCGCCCGAGCGATTTTCAGATTCTAGAATGCGATTTATTATAATGTACGCAAATACACATAAGCGCGACTAGAAAAGCTTTTATTCTTTCTCATGGCCTCTGAACAAATTAATTAACATGCGCTTCGTAGAGAGTAAAATTCAAGAATTTATACGTGCATTTGTGCTGGCGCAACTCGCGTTGCGACTCGTCGTTTGTTGTGTTGCTTTATTTTTTGTTTCAACTCGCTATTTAATTGACACTAACAGCTACAACTGTGCATACATGGATACGCTAGCGCGAATTGCTAACTCAATTTCGCGCAGCGCAAGTGTACTTTTAATTGCGCGATTTTATTATACATCATAGGCGCAGTTTTTCGAGCCATTGCTGCCGAGCTGCGGTAGAGAGCTAAAAATATACGAAGCGATCCTTTTCAATCGCAGAATGCGTGCGGCTGCCTATCGAATTTCCTTTCGATCCAATTACGTCGCGGAGGCAAAAAATATTTTCGTGATAATTGGATCGTCGTTTTAGCCGCCGTATCCGTTATTATGTATCCTACCCGATGGGGCTTTATACAGTACGTGAAAAAAGTACGTAAAATGTTTTTAGAAAGTTTGGAAAATCCACCTACTCCGCGGGCACGAGCTATAGGCTTTTGTGCGCTATTTGACAATCCGAGCTAGAAAACAAAAGCGTGTAGTTCCTAGCTCGCATTGACATGTAAATTAATGCGACGAGTGAAGAAAGCTAGAAGGAGAAAAAACACTCGAAGGCAACATTCAAACAGCGTGGGTAATTTTTGTTGTCTTTTTATTTACAGATTCGACGATGGACACGACGGTTTCCTCGATCTGGCCGAGTTGAAACGCATGATGGAAGTACTGGGAGCGCCGCAGACTCATCTCGGCCTCAAAGCCATGATCAAAGAGGTCGACGAGGACGGCGACGGAAAAATATCGTTTCGCGAGGTTCGTAAACTCCTCTTCGATCGTTCGTTTTTTGTTCCTCTATTTGGCTTCGTGATAGAAAAAAAGCAGATCGACTCACAAAGTTATTAATACCTATACGTTCTGTTTGTATACGTTGCTCGTGGGTCTGAGCAAAATTGGTCTCCCGCATCGTATACGTAAGGGCCGCGAATCGCTCGACGAAGCCTGCGCGATTGAGTTTTCGAGTGGCTCGAGCATCCCCATTGTTTGGTCGTATACATCGAATATCAATATGCAAAAATTACAAAGCGCACCTTCGGATTGCTATAAAAAAAGAAGGAAAAATCACGCGCGCGACTCGATACACACGCTTCTCTTGCAATTGGCCTATATTCGTTGCAATCGAATAGGTCTCATTCCAAACGGATGATCAGTTTACTCGCAATTGTCGCCTGCGACGAGGCTAGTTGGAAGGAAACCTTTACATCGGGGCAAGTGCAAGACGTGGAATTGAAACGATTAAACGCCGGCTCGAGACGTATCGTCTCTTGCGAGGCTTCATCGCGTTACATCGCGCCTCTCGAGGTGCACTCGCAACACATTATACGCGTATCGCAGCCGACTGCTCAACGTGTGCGTTCACGCGAGCTTCGCCTTCATTGTCGGACTCGATCAGGCCAGTAAGCTGTCTCCGGACGTACGTATATCGCCGTTTAAAAGCTTCGATGCTTGTATTCTTGCTCGTCTTGGCATCAACGTACCTATATAAGACTACTGCACTGTACGATCGGCTCAATGAAAAACGGAGCGATGCACATAATGGACTCTCGAGACTGTAATGTTTCGTTCGCAAGACCATTGCAACCGTTGATCTCGTTAATAAAGCAATGGGGCCCGTTCGTCAGGCAGCCGAGCGATCGGATAGATTGAATTAGACTTTTTGCTCGGCGCATCGATTTCTCCCTCCGCGTGGCCGACGCTGATCCTCTCTGCTCGGCCATGATCATTCCTTGTTATCCTTCGCAATTGTAATAATAAGACAAATGTTACGTACTCGAGTTTTTGCTCTTAACTGCTTAACCGGACGGATAATAGTTTCTCTCTCTCTCCGTCTCGGCCGATTGATCATCGTATATCCGTGTTTTCTTTTTTTCGTGCCATTCTGTATTCTCCTGTAGCTATATACAACATTGACAAATCAGACTCACGTATACTTGAGTACTAGTATAGTAATATGTGTCTTGAAAATGTTCTCGCTGATTAGAATTTCAACGCGCACGACTCGACAGCCGCGGAAAAATCGCACGACACAATTCTTTTTCTCTTGTCATTGAACGCGGTTAACTTTGAAGTTTCGCGTTGAGAATTTTCTCCGCGCTCGAGCTTGAATTACGTATCGCGTGTACGGGTAAATAGCTGACGAGCAATGTATGCGGCACTACCTCACGGAACAAGTAGAGAAGTGCTGCGCTGCACCCGCAGGGCGACACACACCGATACACGACCTTTGTACCCTTTGTTCGTTGCTTCGTTTCCTTTTCTTCATTTTTTTTTCACCTTATGGTCATCACTCCGCAAAGAGAAAGAGAGAAGGGCCTGTGGCTCGTTTCCTGCGCTGCTCCAGTTATGCCACAGTATCCGCTGATTTTAGCTCTCCCTTTTCGAGTTCGTTTTACGTTACAGTGCATGCGCTACTCGACATGCAAAACGGATCGTATGTACCACAGCTACGGGAACCTTCGAAGCTTTGTAAATATTTTTCAGGTCTTTGGGGGTGAAATTATTATCAGCTGGGACGCATACGAGTGAATTTTAATGGCCGAAATACATTAGCGCGCCTCGACCGATTGAAACAATCCTACCGAAGTTGTGTGTGGTTCATTGACATTGATTCGAGCGATTTAAAAACAGAAGGCGGACAGGCATCGAAATGCCGATCTGTTTTCTGGTCGTTCTCACTCCAAAGACACCCACGTGTGCGAGTATAATAATAAATAATACGCGCCGGGAGATCTCGCAATTTTTTCCGGCTATCGAACGATCGAATGAAATTGACATGTCCGAAAACACTGTGTGTACGAATTACTCATTATAACGCGTGAGCATTGAGTCACATCGAATCATATCACTCAGAGATTGACTCGACGGCTTATTTTGACCCAACGTCGACGTGATAATAAATGCGTGCGCAATATTAGTATTAATTGCATTGCTTGTTGGGTACTTTCAGACGTTTCGATCCCTAATACGAGAATGGTCGAATTCCCATTTGCTTCCCATTAACTATACGCACTTCTAAGCTTAAAAATAGTTTATAGATATCAGCATTTTTTCCTGCTAATCTTTGAAGCCGATAAAATTTTCTTTTTGCTCTTTTTCTATTAAGAAAAAAGCCTGCTTAGCAGGAATATAAACACGCCTTATCTTGTCCCCTTTAAAAATAAAAAAAATAAGAACGAAACGCCGGTACGATACCTGCCGCGCGATATACTCATGTTGTACTCGGGTGCACGGTGAATCAGTCGCTCGAGAAACAAAGACATGATGCAGCCGAGAGTGCAGCTCGGAAATTATTCTCTCTTTCTATCTCTCTCTCTCTCTCTCTCTCGGCGGCAGTCGCACTTTGTCGAAACGATGACTGCACCCGCTCGCGCGCGTATCCATATCAACAGGCCAATGATGCACGCACGAAATCATGACTCAGTTAAAGGCCGTCGGCGTTGTGTCCGCGTTTATATATAGGTAGCAAGAGAAAATACTCTAGATGATAAGTTGCGATTAGCCAATAAATTTTTTATAAAAATATCATTCGATTCTGTTAAATGTAATAAATTAACGACAGCAGTAATGGTACTAACCCGAGGCTAATTTTTTTCTTTCTTTCCTTTGCAGTTCCTTCTGATTTACCGTAAAGCTCGAGCTGGAGAATTGGAATGCGGCTCGGGATTGGTCGAACTCGCCCGCCTGACGGAAGTCGACGTCGACGAAGTCGGCGTTACCGGTGCGAAAAATTTCTTCGAAGCCAAGGTAAGACTGGTAACTACGATTTGCGCGCGATAAGCACGCGTCCTCGCGACGACGTCGGAATATTTTTTTCTTCCTTTCTTTTTTTTTCAAGAAATTCTACCAAACGAACTTTGCAGTCAACGCAGGTATAAAAGCGAGAGTGTGCTCGTGTCACGCTGCCCGGGTTAACGAATTTTCCAAGAAACCCAAAGTAGATTAATCATAGCCCGAGTCAGCCAGCTAAACGATTCTTGTTTTAACGGGGCGCGATTTTGTTGGTCATAAATTGCTCGTGTATGGGCTACGTGGCATTTTATGGTCCTGCGAAATGACGATCCTCGAACTTGACTCGGTTATAATTATATAGTCTTTCGACTGCAGCGTATTAAGAGCTTGAGGTTTCAGTCCATAATATCCGGTGCTCCTCGTCATTCATAGCCCAAACGACTCGACCGAATTTTGTTGACTAATTGTCACTTCAAACCCATTGCACTGATTCGTCTTTTGTATTTGTCCCTCACAGATCGAGCAGCTGCGCAATTCCAACAAATTCGAGAGCGAGATTCGCATGGAGCAAGAGGAACGCAAACGCGAGGAAGAGGAAAAGGCAGCACGACGAGAGCAGTTCCGTCAACGAGCGGCTATTTTCGGCAATAACTAAATAAACGTCTTGCCGCGCAGCTCTGCGAAGCGACCAAATGAAGCAACGATGGCGACGAGAGAAAAAATGAAGTAGGCAGCGCTTCATGGTGTTTCTTACGCGTCTGCATAAACAAGTCCATATGCAAAAGAATATGCAATTATTATAGCCTCGCTAGTGTGTCTATTTTAGCTCAGAGATATATTATAATACGTGAAAAGCTTCGTCGTGACGCTGGAAAAGGAAATACGGTCGGTCGTTTGCTTGAATAAGCACGCTTACGGTCGACCTGTTATTATATTTTTTCGGCATAAATTCGACGAGTCAATTACTTTTTATGATTCGATAATTGAAAATTGTTGTTGCTGCGTTTGCACATCTCGAATGTGTGGAGACGTTTCAAGCGCTTTTATTGAGATTTTGATGTTATATGGAAAATTTGTTAAATTTACAAGGAAAGTGATAATTTTCTTTAATGATTCACACGTCGTGCAGGGTGAATAGAAAAGCATAAAAAACGTTACTAGGATTTATTAGATATTGTGACTCGTATTCTTTTTGAATTTTTTACGCATTTACGTGCATCCTAAATATTAGCACATAATTGTTCGCTGAGGCCTTTACTAATAATCTCGCTGTACAAATTTTGCATAACTAATATGCCTTCGGGATTATTACATCTACAACTACAATGGTATTCTTTACGATACTCTTACGATGTATAACGGCTATATTCATGAATGAATTCCTAATATCAAATGAATTAAACATTTATAGGTACTATATTTGCTTGTAAAATAATAACATTAACACATGAATGATTGAATTCTGACACATTATTTTATGATAGACATTGGAATTGCAAGACACTCGTCAATAATTGATTGAGCGACGAAAAACACAATTTGCGACGAATGTAAAATTGATTTTTGAACCAAATTTGTCTATTGATTTGTCATTATCAATTCATTTGACGTTAAATGGATGAGAGGCGTGAATGCGCGTAATGTCATTACTCGTTTGTCCTGTTACACGACACTCTGGATTTATGAACGAAATATCTGCCACATCGAAACATCCGATGTGTTGCCAATTCAGATAAAAGTTTACATACAAAAACATAAATGAGGCGCGTAGTAAAGTAATCTTTACGAAGTTTAACAAACAAAATACGTGAGCGCAATGGCTGATGGTGCATAGTAAGCACGTGAGGACGCGCGAAATGAACTATCTCTACGTACACGCACATACGTGAAGTGCTTTGCGTACACACATGATGTTTACTGATTTTTTTTTCTTTCAATTTATTTTTTTAATTCTTTTCACTCTCCAGAGCAAGAAAGGGAGATGCTTACATCTTTTTTGTATTCAGATTAAAGCGTCTAGATAAGTAAAGTATATTACTTTTGAGGCCAAGATGCGCGTTGTACATAAATCATGAGCGAGAGCGGAGCAGAATGAAATGTAAAGATAATAATCGTCGCGCGTATTATCAAAGAATCGCAAGTCGCTGTCACAACCATGTAAACGTTATTTTTTACAGTAGGTTAATTTTTTTTTATAAAAGATTTCTTGTACTTTTTTATTTGACCTTATGATCATTGATACGTTACCGACGATGTTAATCTCATGTAAATTTATGTATGCTCATTATATTTTTTTTCCTATGCTACAGAGTGTAATTTATATTTATATTTATATATATTATAATTATTTGTGATAAATAAAGTTAAGAAAAATATTATATTGTACACGAGAACTGTGTCGTCTTTGTAACTTAACTGAACTTCCCATTGTTAAAATCTCAAACATTCGGCCAACAGCTCCAACGAGAGGCCATTCGTATTAATCAAACGAAGTATGCGTCGTTTGCTGCAAAGTCACACTTTGTTAAGTTATTGTGACGGACAAGACACTTGGGTATAATTTAGCGCTGGTACGATGCATCGCATCCACGACGAAAACAACTCGTTTGTATACATGCGCTTTTACCCTCTCCATGTGCATACCTAATAAGTACGCGCAGTGTAAGCAACACTTGTACCAGGCCCGAACAGATAAATTTCAAATTGGCCGCGACTCGCACACGCCAGTGTCGCCAAACTTATCGAACAATCTCGAACGCGCGCACGCAATCGCGTGAAATTCAAACGACGCTAAATTTCGTCATCGCGCGGATGTTGATCTCTCAAAATTGTCAAGTAACAGTAAATAAACGAAAAAAAGTTTAAATCTCATGGTCCACTCGAGCGCGACATTAAAAATTGAATCGCAACAGAGCCGATTGGCAGAACTGCATTGCCATATCAGAGTGACTCGCTGAATCTTTCAAGTTACTGCACCTTGCTGGCGCTTCGATTGTACTGCACTACAGCTAATAAATTCGCTGCCACTGTATCAAGGCGAATCTTGTATCTTACCTGTACGACCAGCTCATGCTGCCGTACTAGATATCTATAATTGACAGGTGGGCGTTGGTATATATATTTTGATATTTTTTCTTTTTTTTACTGCAAAGCAATAGAAGTGTAACCGACTCGTGAAAATTTGCTCCCGTACGATTTAACCTGTTCGTATCCGATATCCTGCAGTTTCGTAGCTCGCGCGCACACGATTTATCAGCGGCCGAAAAGTCGAGAGCGCTGCGCCTCGCCCTTCAGCCTTTTTGCTCCAATTCTTTATTTTGTCGTTAGTGCGCGATTGCCAGTGCATCCATACACGCCTGCACATCCCTCTATATTCTGTTAAAAACCGTAACGACCTGCAGCGAGGTAGTGATTTAAAAGATACGCAAGAGTCGAGGAGCATATAATACAGTCGCGAGAAAAAGGTGAGCTCGATATTCACGCACTGCTCGCTTCTTCACGCATCCCATAGGTGGAGGCGAGCGGAAAAGTTAGGAATGTAAATGCCAACTCCATACACAACGCGCTGACTGCACCGTCTATCTCTCTCTTTCTCCCTACTTTTAGTGTGCCAAACGTTTGAGCAACGCTCTGCAATTTCCAAGCAGCTCTTCGTGCAACATATTCGTCTCGCTTCCGACTATCTGAATATCGTACTCAAGTATATGCCCCTATAATCAGTCGATTCGAGTGGTATTGTGTACAAACGGCCTAAATTATCGCTTGCAAATAAATCCTCGATTTCAGCGCTACGACTGCTGCCCGATACGTCGCCGTTTGAGGTTAGTCTCGCTATTATTCGAGCTTTATCGCGTTTCGCCAATTTCTGCCCCGTTGTTACAATCGTTGGCGACTGCCCTGGTGACGACGAGAGACAGCTCACTCGCGAGATAGAAACTCGGAAAAGCCGTCGCATATACACGTAGTCGCTCCCACCTTTGTCCCCAAAAATACCTATACATCTTTCTCAAGCAAGTGTTTCATATATACGTATATGTGTTTACAACAGTTAGAGTGACTGAGCGATTTTGGAGAGAGAGAGGAAAGAACGTATACAGCTGAGAGCAACGATTCAAGGTACCAAGCATCAGAATGGCCGGCGCAACGATGTTCGAACGTACTCAAGCGCTCACCATGACGAAAGGCAACGAGGGTATCACCCTCTTGCACGAGATCGTGTCAGATCCAGCCCCCGTCGACAATGAGGACAGCATCAAAGTCAAGGAGCAGGGCATCCTGCAACTTGGTGAGCTTTACAAGAAGGAAGGCAAAGCCAAAGAACTTGCTGAACTTATCAAGGCAACCAGGCCATTTTTAAACTTAATCAGTAAAGCCAAAGCTGCCAAACTTGTCAGGTCTTTGGTGGATTTCTTCCTGGACCTTGAAGCTGGTATTGGTATCGAAGTGAGTATGATTTTTTATACTGTGAAATTTTACAGCTTTTCAGCTCTCTTGGTGTCATACTCTTGTTTACAAAACTTTAAACATTTCTCAAAATTCTCTTGCACAAATAATAAACAAGCTGAAGAACAGTTGTGGTAATTCTATTTATAAATGAACATCACTTGAACAAAATAAGAAATCACATTAGTTTGGCCACAAAGCAGCTTCAAATTGATTTAACATTTTATCGCTTTATTTTTATGAATCACATTTTTTTTAGGTTGAATTGTGCAAAGAATGTATAGAATGGGCAAAGGAAGAACGCCGCACATTTTTAAGACAGAGCCTGGAGGCTAGGCTAATTGCTTTGTACTTTGATACTGGCATGTATGCAGAGGCTCTACAACTTGGCTCTGCACTTTTAAAAGAACTCAAAAAATTAGACGACAAACAATTGTTGGTAGAAGTTCAACTTCTTGAGAGTAAGACTTATCATGCTCTTAGCAATCTTGCTAAGGCAAGAGCTGCCTTAACAAGTGCTAGAACTACAGCCAATGCCATTTACTGTCCACCAAAAATGCAAGCTGCATTAGATCTTATGTCTGGTATTTTACATGCTGCTGATGAACGAGACTTCAAGACTGCTTATTCTTACTTTTATGAAGCTTTTGAAGGGTAAGAATAGATCTGTGCCATTATTAATTTGTTTGACAAATTTTATGTTCAAATGAAATTTAAATTTTATTTATTTCTACAGCTACGATAGTGTTGAAAGCAATAAAGCTCTTACAGCATTGAAGTACATGCTGCTATCAAAAATTATGCTTCGTTCTCCTGAAGACGTTTCCACCATCATGTCAGGTAAACTTGCTGTTAAATACGCTGGACGTGATTTAGATGCAATGAAAGCTGTAGCTGAAGCGAGTCACAAAAGATCTCTAGCTGACTTTGAAGCTGCTCTTAAAGAATATGGCCAAGAATTGAAAGAGGATGTTATTGTTCGTGCTCATCTTGATTCACTCTATGACACAATGTTGGAGCAAAATCTTTGCAGAATTGTTGAACCTTATTCTCGTGTTGAGGTAGTTTAAAACAATTATCTAATAGTTAAAGTAAATTTGAGACTTGTTTGAAAACTAATTTTACTGTTTTATTTCAGGTCAGCCACATAGCGTCGTGCATATCTCTGTCAATCTCTCAAGTGGAGAAAAAATTATCGCAAATGATTCTAGATAAAAAATTGCGTGGAGTGCTCGACCAAGGCGATGGAGTTTTAATAGTCTTTGAGGAAACACCTAGAGACAAGACTTACGAAATTGCACTAGAAACAGTACACAGTATGGGCAAAGTCGTGGATACGCTTTATCAAAAGGCGAAGAAACTCACGTAGCCTTATTAAATTCAAATTTGTACAATTAACATACCTCTATAATGTCACTATTATTACTATTAACGATTAATATTAACTATTAGCTCATTAAAATATTGTCGGTAAATCGCACTCATTTCTTGTTCTATTCAGTTGCAAAAGTTACAGTTTGATTTCAACAGTTTGCCAAGATTTTGTACTTAATCATTGGAACATCATTCTGAAATGGAAGTGCTATTTCAATTGGAAAACGAAAAAAAAAGAAACAAGATTTGAATAATTGACTTCTGTTTTAAAAGCATGCTAAAATTTATCAAAATCCGTTTATAGCACCGTTTTCATTTTTAAATTCTAAATTTATTTGAAATTCCGCTTTAAACATATTTTTTTTACTTTCGTTATATTTGTTTTTTGCAATTAAAATTGCTGACGCTTCAAATCAAAGTTTGGGTGACTGATATTCATCTCGTTCTCATACCCACAAAAAAGAGTGAATTTTTTAATAATCGATACGTAATAGAAAAACATCAAAAAAGCTCGCCAAATATATTATTTCCTCATTATAAAAATTAAGTTTTTATGAATAATAATTATTTTGATGAAATTACAAATCTGGAAAAATAATAAAAACAACATAATGGTGCTTGCAAATTAATGTTTATCTGTCTAAATATGAACCTCTTTACTTTATCAACTCGAAGCTACCAATCGGACTATCCACCTTTGCTCACGGAAGAAGAGAGGAGTTAATATTCTCGAAAGTATTCGACTACCTCGCAAGAGCTTTTAGAAAGCATTCGTATCAAAAGCACTGCTACGAAGAGTCATTTTTCATAACTATCTTCGCGACTCATCTCTGAGCAGCACTCGTACGAAAAAGCAACAATAGAAACATTAAAAAAAGGCAGATGGATATATCGAACAAAGAGGAAGTAAGTAAAAAAAAAGAAAAAAAGAAAAAAAGAAAAATGAGAGTTGGCGAAATGCTCGGTGTGCGAAAAATAAGCCTAATGCAACCCACTCATCGCGGCGGGCCAATAATGCGCCTGACGTCAGAGTCCGCGTGGTGCGTTCAGGAGACCTGACGTCATGTTAAATATCGTTCTGCCTTCTCATGCAGAGAGGCTCTCGTGCTCGAGTGAGGAGCTGAAAAAACGCGTGCGGGCCTCGGCTCTCGTAACGGGAATTAAAAATGTAAAATTTGAAATTTCAATCGAACGAACGATCATCGTCTCGTGCTGAGTTTATAATAATATATCCGATGGACCATAGGATCGACTTTGACGTATTTTTAGTTCTTTTACCAAAGCGGCTTGCTTTAGGCTATCTAACGCCTGACTAGTCATGAGAGCAGGAAAATTGCTTACACTTTCGAAGGCTGGGCATTGGCACCCAGACATCGACACTGCGGAGCTTTAACTTTGAACGCTCGAGTCGTTCGGTGAAATCTTTTGTTCAAAAAAACCTCGGCTTGAGCGTATACAGATATTGTCCACGAGCGTTTTTTATACTAGCTCGTAACCGACTCAATCGTTAACGAGTTTAACGTGTACAATTAGTTTTCGATATAAAATAATGTTTTCTCGTCCATTATTTACGCATTATAGTCCCAACAGCGTTTTTCAGCTAACTTACAAAGGAAAAAACGTAATAGAATGCAATATTTTCTGTGTTTTCACGATTCCAATATACTTTTTCAACAAGTAATTTTTATGTAGTTGATGAAAAATACGGCCAACAAAGTCAGTACACTTGGTTTTTTTCTACTTTAAAGTATACAATTTGAATGACGAGAAAACAAATGTCATTACCGTTCATTAGAAATAAATAGTCACAAAAAGAAGCTGTGGGCCTCAGGCATTGCTAGATTACAGTTGGGCCAATATGTTCTTAAAAATTTTAATTTCTACTGCCTTTTGTTTAACATATTTAGGGTTGAAATGTCTAAAATATAAAGAAATGTTCTAAAGACTCTAATATATTGTCATAATTGTATAGCGTTATAAGTTTATGTTTCTGCTGTCAGGTCGATTTTTCGGATAATACTTTCGTTTCATAGCTGTGCCGAAAATGTCATTATTTGTATTTTTTAGAAAAAAATCATTTTCTGTTCGAAGCAGTTCTTGACGGAAAAAGGGTCCATTCGACAAAGTAAGATATATTAAAAAGATCAAAAAATATTAATTTTCTCAGGCTAACATTGCTATGTCAGTTGTGTTGGTTTCTTCTTCCATTTGTTCAGGTTCAGTACTTGCAGAATTTTTCATTTCAACTTCCGCGTCTCATGTATCTACCTCGACTCAATTTGTTCTTCGATGTTCAAATAAGCTTTTTGAGTTAAAGAAGATTCTGAAATCGCTTTAAACTGCATCATATCGACAAGAATCGACAAGAAGAAGTGATCGTTGCACACACTCGCTCGTATGAATTCGGTCAAGTATAATATCAATGCTATATTATAAATAAAAATAAGAATCGAATTTCGCGATTGAGCTTCGGTGCATTCGATACATTCGGTCAAGAAAAATCTCAATGCTGCAGCATTATAAAATTAGAGCGGCATTGCGAGCTTGACAGTGAGCCGGTGCGTAAAGGCTTGGCCTTTTGCAACGAGGAATCAAGTTCGATTTTCGACTCTCACATCAATTACACGTTAGTCAACTATAATTAATTAGCGATCGAACCTCGGAACATTTAATAGGTACTACGAAGAAAGATATCAATACTGCATCATAAATGTAGAATTATATAGCTGCATCTCGTTCGAGTCTCGGCCCGATTGATTTTGTTGGCGCAAAAATCATATTCGAAGCCTTTCCGATGCACATGGAAAAGTTGGCATTGGAATATAGTGTAAGTTATACGATTTATAAAATCGCAGTCGGCTCGATGTTGGACATGCTCGGATACGTTATAGGCCTGTACGTAAATGGCAATGCCCCACACTCGACTGGTGCAGTCGGCGCCGCGCAAGTAGGTCCGCTTTTCTACTGTGCTATATATACACACTACTATATATACTATAATATTGTAACGTGTGCTGCTGCAGCTGCGAGGCTTTGCGGGAGTCGGAGCCGTGAGACGAAACGTGTGTCTCTTGCAGTGCTGTGGTGCCTCGCTCGCTCGGTTTCTCTTGACGCGGCGCCGCCGAAGTCATCGCTGCTGCTGCTGCTTGCTCGCGCATCGCCAACCGAGCGAATATGTGTGTGTGTAGTGTGTACTGCTGCTGCTGCTGCTGCTGCTGCTGCTAGCTGTCGTACACTCGCGGAGTAGAGTCGAATTATCGCCAGTACACGAGCGCAAGCCAAGTAGGCAGATTGGCTCGTACAGCTCTCGAGCGAGCTCGAGCAACATCGCTGTACACTTTATATATTATTATACTCGTACGTATCGTTCGCGCGAAAGTTTTCTCTCTGTTTTTTCCTCTTTCGCTACTCAGATCGTCGCAGCCTATAATGCAGAGGCATACGATGCAGTGCACAGCGCGTTAAACGTCGAGGCGTGCAAAAGTAGCAGCAGCCAGTCTCCTAGCATAAGCACGCGCGTCGCTGGAAAAGTTGACGCAGAGTTTCGCAACAGATGATAAGTAGACGGACTACTGCCCAAGTGTTGTGCCCAGTGCCAAGCGTGTAACAGTAGCTGAATCTTGCTTCCTTTTTTTCGGATCGAAGCAGACGAGTATATACGAGCTGCTTCTCTCTCTCTCTCTCTCTCTAAAAGTGCATCTGCGAGTCGCGAACGTGCAGCCTTAGAAAAAGAAAAGGCGAGTGACTGCTAGTGCGCGAGTGCGTGCACACATTGCTTGTACTATGGAGAGGATGCAGCGAGACGTGCAGCCAGTTCGATCGGGCCGATTGGCCTTATACGCGTAGAGAGAAACTCGCGCGTGTCGATTGATCCTCGCGGCAGGTGTGGGCACATCGTCGCTGCGACTGCGACTCTGGCACAGCCACAACAAATATTGGGATATCGACGCATACGAGATACGCGTCCTGAACATCCCGAAGCGCGTGCACCAGCTCTGAAATCGACGTCGTGAATACTTAACAGGTGAGAGGGAAAGACGGCGTTCACTCGTGTGCATGGCCCTGACGTCTGCTATGTTACATTATACCTTTGCGCGACGTTGTCCCTTGCCCCAAGGGTCATGCCAATTGCTACAGCAACCATGACAAAATCTTAACCTACCGTCTGCCTAAACTAACTTTTTCTTGTCCTCCCTATTCCATTCATTACTGCTCGTAAAACTACTTGAGTACCGAAAGCTGTATTAGCGTTGTATTGCCCAAAACCCAGTCTGCGAGCTGACAGACAAACTCGTCAACCTTATCAAACACTCAATTAAATATCCGCCTGCGCGCCTCTTATCGTTATCGAGCATATATGTAGTGTGGGAGAGACCTTCGCTACTGGCCTGGCTCGCTCCTACGTACACAAGCTTTCATGTGCATGTACTCAATAACTCGCACACGCAAATATTAAAACGTCTCGAGTATTTGTGACTTGTGATCGCAATTTCTGACTCATGCACTTCGGTGTACACGTACCAGTGATCTTGCGTGTCTCTACAGTCTCGCTCGCTCTCTCAATGAACAGGATTTGCACATGCATATAGCTACCATCGTTTCATATTTATATATGCACATCCGCAAGTTCTGATGTCAGTGGATGAGCGCGCGCCGAGCATCACCTTGAAATCGCGCGAATGCGTAATAACGACGACTAGTTGACACTTTTTTCAAACATTTTTCTGTTTGTCAATACAGCATCGCTGATACACAATGCCAGCACCGCCGCCTCCTCCGCCCGCGCCAACTTTCAACCTTGGTGGTGGTTCTGCAGACGGCAGGGGTGCCCTTCTGCAATCCATAAGAGCTGGCAAGGCTCTCAAGAAAACTGTTACTGTTGACAAAAGTGCACCAGCAATCAGTGGTGAGTGAATGACACCAAAGGCTTAATTGACAATCAATAGTTATTGGCTAAGACACAAGATTTTTTTCTTAAAACCTTAATTTTTTTTATACAGGAAGAGTTAAGGGTGAAGGTCCAAGTGTACCTGCTAGCACTGTCAAAAGTCCAGCGCCAAATACTAATAGTATTAATAATGGCAATCCTATGGGATTGGGTGGTTTATTTGCTGGTGGTATGCCTAAATTAAAGCCAACTGGTATGAGAAATAACCTGACAGAAAAAGATAATGGTAATGTCAGCATGAACAGCAGTGGTTCCGCTACATTACCAAGTATAAAAAGAGGTCCACCACCAGTGCCACCTCCAGCAGCACAAAAACCACAGATTTATCCTACAGGATCTCCGCAATCAGTAGAGCCTAATACAAATCAGAATGCAGATACACCAAGAGGGTCATATGGCAAGCCTACTTTGGCTCCTAAGCCTCCGGTTTTGTCTTCCAGTACTGTACAACAGTTACAGCAGAAGCCTTCACCTCCACCTAAAAAACTAAGTTTAACTACAAATAACTCAGTATCCAGGTAATGCATAACAATATGATTAATTCACAGTTGTAATATAAAGTGCAAATTTTAACTAAAACAATTCTTTTCATAAGTACAACAAAGAATGTTATATTGCATAGGTTGCTTGTATTTACTATATATTTTACATATTTAGATTCATGCATTCATTCGAACAAATATGCTTTGGTTCTTGAAAAGCTATTAGGCTAATGAATAAAATTGAGCAATAAGTGAATATTGATTATTATTATTTTCTTTTAGCCATTCAAGGTAAAATCATGAGACTATTGGTGTCAAATACAATAGATAAAAATTAACCAATACATTTTTCATAACATTACAAAAGTATATGCCTCAAATATCTACTCTAAAACAAATCTAGTTGACTCATATATTATGTTGCTACTACACTGACGATCTGTTACTCAGAATATTTTGTAAATATTATTTTTATTTATAGAACACGATTTCACAACTTTTTATTAACACAAAAAGCATACCCTTTCAAAAATAATCCAAAATTTATTTAATTATAATTCTAAAGAAAAAATGTTTCATGTTTAAGGGCACAGAGTATGCGATTACCTCGCTCTCCACCGGTGCTGGCACCGACGCCGCCCTCGCTACATCAGTCACAAGATTGCCTAAATGCGGAACCTCAGCAGAGGACACAAGTGACACGAGTGCTAAGGCCACCGGTGCAACGGCCCCCTTCGCCACCCACGTCACGAGGCAATGGATTGGCTACAAGAGCGGCACCTCCGCCTCCACCGTGTCGAGCCCCATCGATGCCACCACCACCACCACCATTGCCACATCGCAGCGCCTCGTCAGCTGGACAAGCATCATCTGGTACATCGACGCCTCCATCGACGGCGAGGCTTGCACCACCTGTACCGCCGCCTCCGACGCCGCCGACGCGAGGTCAGTCATTACAACGAAGCAACGGCCAACAGCAGCATCACCAGCAGCAGCAGCAGCAACTCCACTCGTCAAACTATCACATCTCTGCAGCGGGTCCTGGTCCGGCTGAATTCGAAGCTCGCTTCTCGGACCTGTTTCATTCAATTGCGAAGTTTCCGCCGCCAGGACCATTCCGTGGAGTACCTAAAGTCTACAGCAGCAAAACCGGTGAGCCCGAGCACCGATCTGGTTATGGAGGACTCTTCCAAGCATTTTCTTTCAAGAGGCAGTCCTTTGAGTTTGACGTTATATAGTTGATAATTAATTGCGTAGTCATTTCTATCATTCACTTTATTCTTTGGCTTTTACTTTCTTCTATCTTTTATTTTCTGTATTCATACTCATTTTATCTCTCTATATTAATTGCAATTATTCTTAAGTTTTGCTGGTCTGGCTGGGTACGTGACTAAAAGTAGAAATGGTTAATGTGATATTCATTACATAAAAACTTTTTAAATTAATATATTTTGAAAAAACAATGTAAACAATAAAAATACTGCATTGTTATATTGTTTATATGAATATCACATTGGGTAACTGCTATTATTCAATGGAAGGTATTTACAATTTGTAGAGGCCTATGTGGTATTGCAAAAATGGCTGTGAAAGCATGATAATTGTGAGAAGTCCTTATACAAATGATGTATGCATTGAAAACTATAATTTTTCTCTTTGTTTTTTTTTTTCATTGTTACATGGACATTTTTGACGCATTATTTTTTACTCTATTTCATTATTTATTCGATTTCATAATTTTTCATGGGCAAACATTAAAAAATTAACTACTCCTGCTTAAATTACGGGGAAAAAAGATATTCTGTTTGATTACCTGTTTTACTTGTAAACATATTTTAAGCAATGATACTTGTTTAATTGTGACTTCATCAAATCCTAATATTTTGGGTCATTTCAAAACTTTCAATAAGTTTGACAATTATAATTATAGTTTAGTCAATATTAAATCACGTTATCTCATTTTCTATTAAAGTCCATAAATTTTTTTGAAAATCAAAATGTACATAAATAAATTTTTCACGCATTTGCTCGTAAAATCTATATGAAAAGCTAATTTTTGTTATTCAATTGCCTTATATTTGGAATGAGGACAAGCTGCTCAAAAAGAAACAAAACATGTATTAATATAAATTAAGACGCAGCTACTTTTTAGATTTGATTTCTTTTTACTAAAGCGTCAGAAATAAGTTCAGATTTTCTCACATGAATTGAATGATATCTTTGGTCTTTGGAATAGTTAAAGTACAGAATGTAAAGGCTTTATTTTTTCTGAAAGCATGTTTTATTGCTTCTTGAAATATTGAACAAAATTCGTAATAGTTTTTAAACGTTACCTTGTAGATAAAGTCAAACTTGATATTTGATAGAATTTAATGTATCATAATAAGTCAGGTTGATGTGAGTTGTAACTTACATACTGAAACGTCTAATCAACTAAAGTCAATTAAAGAGATATATATATAAAAACTGAACATTTTTTAGTTCAAATGCTATTGACTAAATACACTTCTTTTAAATTAAACCAAAGATGAAGTAAACCAAAAAAAGCTATTTTTAATTGTTTCAAAAATAATCGACGACGATTTTAAGTCTTGAAATCACAAGCATCGAAAAGTACCTCATATACTGTGGGTCATTGTTGAGGCTTTTTGTTAAAAGTACAACCAAAAAATATTATACATAAATTAAAAAAAAAACATACATTGTTAGTTTAATTGATATAATATAATAAAGATGTAAATATTCCAAATTATTTGATAGCATTAATAGTCAATCTGTGCACAACACCTTTGCCTTGGCACTTCCTTTATAACAATAACTCAAAATTCATCTTTAATTCACTCTAATCAAAGGTGCATTGCAATTACAAAATTCTGAGCTTTAACACTTACATTATAAGCATCTATGATTAAAGTAAATTAAGGTATCATTGACATGCATCAATCTCACTCAAACCAATAATGATATAAACTCATTCAAAAATAAAAACTCCATTAAGAAAATGAAAAAATATAAATAATGTTTACGTATAATATTTCGTAACACTGACTGACCAAAAAACTGTCTATGTATATTAATTGAAATATTGCTCAGCATGTAAAGCAACTGCTAGTCTAAGTATTAAATAAGACCTAATTAATATGGAAGACTAATATTCAATGTCTTTTAATCGAGTGAATGTTATTATTTTTTTTAAAAGTTGCAGCTGCGAAACAACAAGCGCCAATGCCACCGGTACGTTCGGTTTCGAGTGCGGGGAGCAATTTACCATCGCCTAGACAACAGCAGCAGCCTACGACGCATTGGCAGCAGCAATCCACACAGCCAAATGCGGCCTGCTAAGGCTGGCTTTACTCTTGTCTGTGCTTTTTTACGTTTTGTCGGGGAGATACGAGTCATCTGGATGAGCTCCCTTCGCCATATTTATAATCGGTATCGAATGAAGACTGCATGGATAGACGAGAGGCACTATACGAACATGAATTTTAGCGCGTTGATACACAATTTTTTTTAAATTTATTACTAAATTTTTTTCACATTGTTCATGATTGTTCGATGGCATGTATACATATTTATAAATATTAACGCAAGATAATAAAAAATATATATTATATTAAATAAAAAATGAATTGTCACGACGACATGTGAGCAAAAAGAACGTTAAAAAATTAGCTCATTTTTTGTTATCATACAAAGCGAGAACGTATCATAATGAGCTTATTCGCACAAAAACGATATTGTAAAGTTTTTAGTTGAGATAGATTTTAATTTTATTTTACTTATAAATAGTTACTCATTCTCAAACCTTACTATTGGGTCATTTTTTATTAGCTTAACGTAGTTCTGTTTGTAAAATGAAGTTAATTCTCATTAATAAGTATTGCACTTAAATACAATAAGTTACTGTTGCTAATGAGAATAGATTCTTTTATCCAAGTCTTCCTGAAATATTGTGTAATTTTATATATTCTTGATAATATTTCTTCGTGTTAAAGTTGTCAATCAAAATCTACAGCAATATAAACAAATGAAAAAAATACATACCAGGCACGAGTAATAATTTAATGATTATTCTTAATAATATATTATTCTGCATCAAAAACTTTTGTGATTCAAGCTACTAAGCAATATTTCCAAGCAGGAATTGAGGAAGCTTTAATTATAAAATAGTCTGATTATGCTCAGTATTATTAAATGGGATTTTAAATGGCTATTCAAAGAGACTATTTTAAAAATATTAAAAATCCCATTGAAAAGATAAACAATCAGTTATGGTATTATAATTGTTTAATCTATTCTCATTACATACATCGTAAGTTTACCGTTTACAAACATTCCCACGCTGAGCTATTTAAACGTTAATCTTGATTGAAAATTTCTTCATCAAAATATTTTATGAACACGAAGCTTAACATAATGGAAATCAAAATTGATCATTTTAACACATTGAATTTATTCCTACAGCCGATTACCATAGTTAGGCATTTTGGTTAATCAGTTACAATACTTAGATAGACACTAAATTTAGAGCATTAAGTTCGTTATAGCAAAGATTGCAGTGCGATCTTGTGATTTTTAAAAATACAAATACACCAGTGAAATTTTGATGAGAAAAATATTTAAAAAATACGAGTTTGAAACAAGTCTGTAGAAAGTCAAGGAACCAAAAAATTAAATACAATTTTTAAAAAGTTCCAAACACATCTCATCTGAATTTTCTAAACCATTTTACTGGTATTTTTTGCGCGCAGAAAATTGTAAATATTACATATCATTACAAAATGGTAATTAAGTTTTAAGAAAATATTTTTAAATTATTATATGTATATGTTTAAAGTTTGCATAAATTTATAGTTTTAAACAATGTTAGATAAATTACATATTTCTTTCTAATTTGCATCGTGTAAATAACAATCTGAATAAAAACATTACCATTTTATGAAAAAACCGAACATTTTCTAAAATTTATATCTTATTAACTTCGTGTAAAAGATGAAGGAGGGGGGGGGGGTGGTGGCATTGCGCCCTTGAAGTTTTGTCAAGCGATATTAATATGATTAAATTTTTTGCACTCAAACTTAAGAAACGGCTATGTAAGTTTTACGAATTCGATAAAAACTATTGAAATGTTGACATTGAGCTCTATTTTGAGTAAAAAAATTAATAATTTATTAATTGTAAACGTATTACATAGCGTTTTTTATTTCATTTATTGGCAGAGAAAGAAACAAGTTCGGAAAGAAAGAACGCTGTTCTCTATTGTTTCATGAGAAAGTTTGAATGTTGAAAATTCATTAAGATTGTTGATTAAAAACATAAAAACGTTTACGATTTAAATAATTATTGTATATATTCAAATTTATACATAAAAAAATTGTACAATTTTTCATTAGCTAATACTGCATTTAATTGTTAAAATGTAAATACAAATAAGCAAGATTTTTTGAATCTGCAAATAGCATATGTAATACTACAATGCTCCAAAATTTCTAGCTCCCTGACATCTAAGCTCGAACGATCATATAGAATTCATAGCACCAACATTCATCAAATGCATTTGCATGACTAAGTTGTAATTTTGTTGGAATATATCATAACTAACTATTTTAAGGAAAGGATAATATGAAAAAATATTAAAAACAAATTTAAACAATGATAGTAATAATTTTGTTTTATTATGTAAATTAACATACAGAAACTAATATTTTATCATTTAAAAAGCATGAGAAATGTTATGCCTCGAGTTCTTTCTCGATGATTTGACGATATTCATCAAAACCTCCTTCTATACATTTGATTGAACCATCAGCACACACCCACAGTTCTTTACAAACCATACGTATTAGTCTTTCATCGTGAGATACTAAAATGACTCCAGCCTGAAATGAATTTGACACCATTAAATTTAATTTTTACAAGCTTTTTCGATTAATTGTAAACATTTAATTTAACATATTCGTAACATATTCTTCCTTTCTTGTTTATGTTATGTCAATGAAAATTTCCATTCAAAACTATTTTATTGGGCTACAACTTGAAATAAGGGAGAGAAGTAATAGATTATTTAAACTTACTTGACAAGTGTTGATAGCTTTGCCAAGAGCTTCAATTGATTCAATATCCAGATGATTTGTAGGTTCATCAAGCACTAAAAAGTTAGGCATGGCAGCGCACATGAGGGCAAAAGCAACACGCGATTTTTGACCTCCAGATAATGAATGGATAGTTTGAAGAGCCAAGTCACCCGTTACGCCAAAACTACCCAGCATCCTTCTATATTCCTCTATGGGTTTTCCTGCAATTGAAAATGAATTATTTACAATACTTCTTTACAAAACTAAATTATCAATTGATCGTATCTTATCTACTCACCAGGGAAATTATTTTGTAACAATTCGACAGGACACACCCTCAAATCAAGTTGATCTACGTGATGTTGACTAAAGTATCCGAATTTCAAATTACGGTGTGTATGAATTGTACCATGCGTAGGACTAAGCGAGCCGGTTATGATTTTTAGTAGCGTGGTTTTACCAGCTCCATTTTCACCGACGATGCAAATACGTGATTGTAACGTTGCGCTTAGACTTACGTTAGTGAATACAAAGTTTTTAGTATCAGGATAACGATAAGATACTTCGTTAATTTGTAAAATTGGTGGATTAAGCGCCTCTACGTCGGGGAAGCGCAAAGTCACCTCGTTTTCTTTTTCAATAGGTTTAAGGTCAGGTCTGGGGAAAAAAAATTACAACAATTTTTGAAAACTGAAAAACGTAAAAACCCATCATTAAAAAATACTTACAGTTTATCAAGCATTTTAATTTTACTTTGAACGCTTGATGCCCTATTAGCATTGTAACGGAAACGATCAATAAATCCTTGTACATGGGCTCGTTTGGCCTGCTGTGCCTCAAATTCACGCTGCTGGTTAAGCTCACGTTCGTTTTTGGTCTTGGCGAATTGTTCATAATTGCCACGATATGACTCAATTTTTTGTCCTTTAAGATATAATATATCTGTAGGCACCTATAATCAAATATGAAGAAAAATTATAACCTTCTTAAAGCATCTTGATACATCATAAAAAAAAATGTACTTACAGTATCAAGGAAATTACGATCGTGAGAAACTACAAGTAAAGTAGTTGGCCATGATTGTAGGTACTTCTCGAGCCAAAGAATTGCTTTTATGTCCAACATGTTGGTCGGTTCATCAAGTAACAATAAATCAGGTCTAGAAAATAAGGCACGAGCAAGTGCTAGCCTCATACGCCAACCACCACTGAAAGCTTTGGTAGGCCAACTTTGTCTTTTGACTGAAAAACCCAAACCTGATAATATTGTACTTGCTTTTGCTGGTGCCTTTTCTACTTCTGCAAGCTGCATTGCTTCAAATACTTTAGCTACAGATAAAAAGTATTTTGTTATTGTAAAACTTTTTATAACAGTAATTTTAATAACAGTAGAACCAAGGGGTTTGACTAACCAAGTTCTTCTCCAAGAGTGTCACTAACTTTGTCACCCTCTTTTTTAATGGCAGCTTGAAGTTCAGCTTCTTGTTTGAGAAGCGCACAGCGTTCCACATCAGATTGTAAAACAGAGTCCAAAGCAGATGTATCATCACCTTCAACTTCTTGCTCTACATGTAATACTCGTATGTGCGACGGAATTTGTAATTGTTTTCTAAAAATAAAAAAAACATAATTGGATTTATCGTAACTTTAAATCACTGTAAAATAATCTTAAAATTTTCAACATACCCAGAGATCATGCGAAGTAATGTCGTTTTACCTAAGCCATTTCTTCCTACAAAACCATATCTTCTACCAAAAGCTAATACTAAATCAGCACCTTGTAATAAAACTCTGTCACCATAAGCTACGTCAAAGTTTTCTATCCTAATATCATTTGTCCTGTTTGTTCCACCCTTAGCTTCCATTTTATTGTCTTTTTTACTAATTACTTGACTAACTGTGGCAGTTTCTAATACAAGTGGAGCATTCTTTTTAACAGTACCTTGGTCATCTCTGTTTTCCTGCTTTTGTCGAAGCTTTGCTTCAGCTTTTTCCAATTTTTTGGCATCAACTTTCTATAAAAATATTACAAGATACCTGTACAATTATAGTTAAAAAACTGGTGGAAAAATTAAGAATTTGGTTTGTCATAGTGAAAACTTACCATGACATCATCTCTTGAAGTGACCCATATACTTTTAATTTCTTCAGCTTCCTCCGTTAATCCAGCAGTCATTGATCCCATATGAATAGGGGTATTTAATACTTTATTTACACCATTTTTTCGCCTTTCTATGGAGCCATTGCCCCCATCTGTCAAAATTGACAGTAGATTTGTGCATATTTCTCTATAAAAAAAAAATAATAATAATAATAATAATAACTATCAACAGTTCGGGAAGGAACCTTCATTACGTATTCATGTTAAGTGGTTCATGCAGTAATGAACATAGATTAATGAATAATTCACGAAAAATAATGCAAAATGTAAATGCATTTCAACTACTAACCTAACCTCTTTTTCAGATTTTTCTTCAACCTCGTGCAAAACTTCACCGATTGCTTCATAAACTTCGTTGGCGTCCTCGAAATCATCTTTTGAACTATTCAATATATCTGTAACATTGAATATTAATTGACAGAATTATAATTATGAACGCTTAATCATCACAAGTGTAACCGTTTGCTACTCGAAGTCAAGTTTTGCAAAGTTGTCTTTTAACTCATCAATCATGACAACCATTCAAGGTCATAATGAATAAACGGTATCAATTGCTAGAGCATATTTTAAATTAAATCGTAGACATTTGAAGCAGTTTAGATGGAAAAAAGAGAGAGAGAGCGGGAGAGTCATTGATGCATCGTAAGCAGACACTTATTCTTACTATTACACTTGTCCAAGCAAAAAACATAACATAAGGAGCGTCTTGTAAGTGTCTGCATAACAAATTGAAGGACAATTAATGTACGAGAAGTTCTGAAAACATTGAGGATATCGTACCATTGACATATTGAAAAATTTCATCCTCCATGGTAGGATAAATTTTATGAATGTAGTCTCTGCACCACATGGTCATTGAGTTTCTGCTACACGATTTCTCGAACACTTATCAAAAAGAACACGTCGTATTGACCGTTTTTGCGATCGAAATTTGTTGCGGCAAGGCGATTAAAAAAAGCGTGCAAAGAGATATTATTACTGATGCGTGTTGATGTACACAATAAGCACACGCTCCCGACTGCTACTGCCCGAGTCTGCACTCATGTAGTACATGAGAGACTGCGGCTCAATACATTCTCTCTGCCTCTCACGGAAATTTGATGTCACTAATACGCACGTACGTTGGCGCACACATTTATTCACGCACGCCTCGTATCTGCTTCATACATATATACCTATAACGGAGAGATCGCTTTATACAGCTATACAATAAACGGCCCGCGAGTATAGGCAGCACTCGAATCGACACGAGCAAAACGAGTCGTCTCTTTCGCTCTCGTACACGTGCTGTCCTGTCGGGAATTCTTTGCGTGAAACGTCAGTGAAATTGAGGGGCATGTATGCGATGATTCGGTTGCACGTTAGAGCGCCTCGTTCTTGCGGTGTATCGCGCGATTCAAACGCTGAGCAAGTTACGATTCGAACTAGCTCAAACAAGGACTTTTCAGGGCTTGCCGCCCACTCGAGTTTCGATACTTTTGAATAAAAAATACAAGTTCTAGAAATGGGTTTACGTGTGAAATGATGCATTTTTTAAAGATTATGCATTTATTTGTATTGATTTTGATTGAAACAATGAGACCAATATGTTTTTTTGAGAATTTTCTTTTGTAAAAGTGCCACGTGGCAAAAGTGTTGAAGTGCATATGAGAGTATGGACTAATCACTACAAAATTTCCTTATTAAAAAGTTAATGTTCATTTGTTAAATATACTTTGTCGCCTATGGCGATAAACGAAAGTTTTTATTGCTTTGCTTTTAGACTTGTCTGAACTGAGCCGAGACGCACGACCGTTACGGCAGTTTTTGCCATCTGCCCCCTCCTATACTCCGCGGCTTCAGAGATCGTCGCTTATTGGCTCGGTTGCATTTTGAAACGAGTATAAAACATCCCACATTTTAAGGAACTCGTCACTTCCATCTTGGATATCGATATCTAAACATCGCGTTTTAGTTTGCATACTTTCATCATCACCTCTTCTCAATGGCTCGTGGACGTAAGCCAAAGTCTTCCCTTGCTGTTGGGCGTAAGAAGACCTCGCCAACCAAAACAGCCCCAGAAGCAGCAGATCCTACTCCTGCCCTGGCCGAAGCCAAGAAGAAGCGCAAGAAGTCGATACGGTCGTACAAGACTCACATTTACAAAGTACTGAAGCAGGTGCATCCAGACGTCGGTCTCACCGCGCAAGCGATGAGCATCATGGATAGTTTCATGAATGACCTTTTCGAACGCATCGCTTGCGAAGCATCAAGTCTGACCGATCTCGGCAAGAGGTCAACTTTGACATCTCGCGAGGTTCAGACTGCTGTTCGGCTGCTGTTGCCAGGTGAACTCGCTAAACATGCTGTCAGCGAAGGTACCAAAGCAGTCACCAAGTTTACTTCGGCTTAATACGGTCCACTACTTCCAATCGGCCCTTTTCAGGGCCACAATTATCAACGTAAGAATAAACTTATTAGTTTGAAGACATTTTCTACATTCACTTGGTCAAGTAATCCTTCAGGATTGCACACGCACTGCCTCGTTCATAATGCGAGAGTATGAAAATAGAAGTTGATAAAACTAATGAACTGAAATGAATATTTCAATATCAAAATTTACTATCACTTCATTTTCACTGTCTTCGATTACGACCACATTAAAATCTATTTTAATACATGTGATTTTGATTCATTCAAAATGAAAATATATGAGCATGATCCTTAGTTTGAGGTTACAAGCCTTTGACCACAAGATATCTTCATTCGCTATCGTAATTTCGATTCATACTTGTTTACACAACGCATTAGAATCTAATTATCGATAATCAAATCTCTTTGAATTCGTATATTTTCGTAAAAACATGAGTTTTCATACTTGATACTTGACGCGTAAGCGATATTGATGTTCAAATTTCGAATTTTAACAGTTGAATAATAGACCAATTAAATTTGTTGCAATAAAGTTGGTTACTAACGAACCTTAAGTTAAATGTTAATTAACATTTAATTTTACATCAAATGGTTTATTAACAGAAAAATGTATTATAAGAAACGGTATAAATGTTCTATGAAGTAATAATTGGACTGTGAAGCATATTTATTGATGATGCAACAATTGAACTTCATCCTCGGCGCTGTTCCCATCGTTATACGATTCTTCAAGTAGTACATCATGGAAGCTCTACATGCTACGATGGACCAGTCGAGCAAATGAACTTGAATCCATGTGATTCGAGCATGGAAATCGACAAAATTGCCAACAGGGGATCAAAAACGATGGAAGAGTACACATCTTCCAAATTGATACAACCACAAAAAATCAATAAAAGTCGGTATCATTGAGTTACTGAAACTGAATCCGAGGACCATTTTACTCGGTCACGTCAGTTTTGTTCTATCCGTATTTTTCAGGACTACCGCGAACATGACGTAAAAACTTTTTAATAGTAATACCGTGGCACATTGCCGACCGTTTCGCCAAGTTAATTATTAGCATTGCATTGCAAACAACGTAGAAGCGTCGTTTACTACAGAGAAATGAACTCCGCAAGTCAAGTTGAAACTGGGCAGCCTAGTCTACTGGTTTTTCATAAAAACTTTCATCTTTTTTCAATGAACTTTCACTCTCAACCAGTACTTTGATAATTAAAAATTCGAAAAATAAGAGTAACCTGTGGGTTCGCTCACTTCGCTCAAGGTTCCATCTATGTAATACACTACCTCAGCGCTTTAGCTCAAACGGTTAGTTCTGAATATTACCGTAGATCAGAATGAAGCTGCTTGGACAGAAAATGCAAAACAAGAAAAATTAAAAAGCTATGTGTCCGAAATGGGCCACGAAATTATCACAGTGAATAATATGAATTAAGAAATTTAAAAAAAATAAATACGGTAAGGGGATATCTTTCTGAAAATTGAAATTTTTTGTTTTGATTCTAAGGTACCTTTCACTCCTTAATCCTCCCCCGCATTCATATTTTTCAAATAGTAGTTTAAACAACGAAAAACAAAAGGGTCCTTACATTGTAACATTTGATACTAGAACATTTTTGTAAGCGTTGAGCGATTCAAGCAGATAGCTGAAAACAAGTCTTAGCCGCTCTCTTTCTCTCTCGAGTGGGAGCTCGCAACAACTCGAGTCTTTATCCTGCGTCTGAATAGAAGTACGCGGGTGGGGATGCACCTCCTATATATAGCAACACACGCGAGTGGCGCAGACTTGCAGCTGATTAATCTCGGGCTGCAACAGCAGCGCGGCGCGCAGCGATTAAAACCATACCGTATTCGTGACTTTTTAAAAATTGCCAGCCGCTTCCGAAACTCGTTCGCTGGACCTAAATCGCGTCGCCTGGACTCGTACAATCGTCCCGAGCTCGCGAGATGCAGTCCAAGCATTGATATTTGCAGTGCAAGCCTTCGGAATAGACTCGCCATCTTGCGAAACGTATGCAATAGCGAGAGAAGAGGCCAAGTGCAAGTGACACAGTATCGGTCGCAACAATAACAAATTATGCTTTCTTGAACCCTTCGTAATTCACACTTTTTCAAGGCGAAAAATTTTTACGAAATAATAGATTCGGTTGAAAAATCGTTTCCTTTTAAATAGCGGTAAGGAAATTATTTAGCCCTTAAAGGAAACAAGTGTGCTGCGCCAGTGCGTCTTTACTCGAGTGTCTCGACTGTTCAGGCGTGCGATCAAGTCCAAAACCCAGGATACTTAAAAATGGACAATGAAGCACTCAACAACATCGATGATGAGTCAGAGCCTTTAAAAGGGCAAAAAATTCCACATATCGACGAAAAAACACAATCTCCAGCGAAGACGCCTGTGAGTACATGAGAGACGTTCGATAGACACAATTCTCCATTTTGCTCGTATATATATTTTTGGGCGTGTTGAATTTCGGATTGCTTTCCAGAAACTAGATTTTTTACTATTCCAATGAATTCTTGATTCTTAATGAAAAGAACGAATTATTTTATTATTTTCAAACTTATTAGTTCCCTGTCAACAAGGGCTGATTATCGTCTTCATGCAAATGACTCCATTGTCTTTTTGTATTGGCAAAAAACTGTTATCATAATTTAGTTCGAATTGTTTTCAATCAACTAAAAATCAATGCATTTTTCGTTTTTCTTTTTACAAACGTTGAAACGAAAATGAATTTACGCGTGAAATTTTAATTGTTCATGCTAGGAAGTACTTAACCCCAAACTTGCTGAGGCTGATGTAAACAAAACCAGATGTTCCCTCTATTGACAGTTTTCTACTTATAGAGTGTAATGGATTTAAAAAAAACACGCTATTCAAAATAGGTTTCGTTGTAATATTTCACCAATTATAATTCATAATTAATTTCACGATTATGTATATTTATTACATTGAATGCTAATTTTTATTAAAAATTTCATTTTTATATTAAATACAAAAATTTTTTTGTGTAAAAGTGTCAAAATTATTTTAATCAATCAAAGAATTCTATAGTTCTTGAAGAGAACCATATTTCATGCAACTGTAAAATTTACAGGAAATGGAAGAACCATCAATCGAAGAACAACAAAATGCTCTACCAAAAGATAAATTATATCATTGGCAAGCATGTCAAATGGCTAAAAGTCTAATTGACAATACTATAAACAAATCACTAGAAAACTACCAAAGATACCCAAATGTTCCCAGTTCAGCTGTTTTTGAAGACCCATGGTATCACCTGCTAAAAGGTAAAAAAGTTGAAGATACAGCAATAACAATGGCTATTAGAGAACATGGTTTATCACGTGCATCTGCCTCTACATCATTACAACCACTAACATCTCTAGATGATGGAACTTCTGATAATGTTGAAGGTATTTTTGTTAAAGAATTAATTTTATTTGGTATAATATACTATAATTAATGTTTATTATATCAAAGATTATCAAAGAGCAGACAACTCATATAATTGTCTTTTAATATTCTTGATTATTTTATGTCAATAGGTGAATATTCTGAAGATTCTCATTACAATTTTGATAACCAAGAAGCAATTATTGATAGAGCAATCGCAGAAGCCATTAATCAGAAAGGGTTGAGCGTCCTGGGAGCTGATAACGGTTAATTAAGATTTCACAAAAATTGTATACATTCTTTTTTAGTTATTATTCAATATAGCAATAGCTATGTGAATATGAACGCTTGTAAGTATTTTTTTTCTTGCTCATATCAAGTATCTCAAAAAAAAATCTATTAATAAAAGAAAAGTATTTTAAATATTTGCTGATGATAACTGATAATATCTGATCAGAAATAATTAACTGCAATACATTTTTTGTGAATTCATGTAAAAGTTCAAAATTGTTTAACTGAGCTCGAAGAATTCATATATTGAAAATATAGTATATGGATTTTTGGAAATTCAAAAATTTCAGCAAAATGCATTCAAAGTGCAAAGCCATACATCTAATAGTCATTTTTCACAAAACAGAAGTTAGTAAGATATTATTGTAACTAGAAGAAAATCTTCCAAATTCTTTGAAAATGCCTCTTAACTATTAATATTCTTATTGCAATTTATATAGAGTCATATATTTTATTTATGTAAACAAAATATAATCTGTCAAGTATACAAAGATATACAATTAAGCTGTTAAAAGTAATTCTGAAAAATTACTTTTTTTTGGTGAAAAATATAATGCATCGAAATATTCTGCATTTGGAGAGTGATATTGTTCAAAATATATAAACTTCAGCTAATGCTGAAATTCCTACATAAATATAGAATAATACTATAAGATATAGCTATAGACTGAATTAATGTAAAATATTTATTAATTATTTTAAGATGAAAGAGATTTATTTGACATTATACATACAATAGTATTATTATCTGTAAAATTATTGAAAATTGATTATAATTTATTTTTCATAGACATGTTTATTTATTTTTTGGTATACATATTAGTAATTTTTTGTCTCAGTACTAGCTCAAGTTGTTTTACATATAGATATTCATTTTTGGAAATAAATGGTACTGCTAATGTCTTACAATTAAAATATTTTTGTGTATCGTAATAATATGTAGCTCTAAAATATTTATACTGCATTATTCTTCCAAATTTCAGTTAACTCAAAATAAGTGCATAAATGCCAATAATTGTGCTATGAATAATAAAACATTAAATGAATAAAATTATTGAGGTGCTAATATAAAGATTTATTGTAAAGTAGCGCCCAAAATTCTGTAAATATATACTTTAAAAAAATACAAAGAACAAAAAAAGAATAAAATAAATTTTATTATTTCAAAGTTATCAGAATTCTTGTAAAAAATTTTTATCTATTGAAATTACTCCCGTGACCATGGTTAAAAAGATGAATTTTTCCTATACCAGTACCAATAAAATGTTTGATTCCCACTTTGTACGTTAAATATTCGTAGAACATTCAAAAGTATTTTTTTCAATCGATTAACGCGTTTTCAGAGTAAACTGCAAAAAGCAGAGGCTCACTCAAAAGTGGAACAGTTTAAGTACATTAACAAATTTAATGTTTACCATCCGTTTACAAGTAGTTGAAACCGAAATTTAAAAATTATTATTCCTTTGAAAAAACTCATTGATTGTATTATCTTATATTATTTTGAATATGAAATAATGATGTTAGAATCTGTGTTTTTGTTTTTCGATCATTGACTTAATATTATTATTTTTGTGTCGAATTACAATGGTGCAAATAAATTTTTTATAGTAGATAACGGAAAAAATGTGTGTATAACGGTATATATATTGTCTGAAAAGCGACGACCGAGGCGCCTCTCATATCACGAATTTTGAAAGTCGTCGAACTGCTGAGCTAGATGGACACGTGACGAAAGTTCGATGCACCCTCCACGTGTGTAAATTTTATCATTATTCTTGACACGTTGCAAAAAGCTTCTGTGTACGTATATGCTAAAAGTTCTAAATTTGTTCAAGTTAGTCGAACTTACGAGCTTACGTAACGACAATAAAACAGATTTGAATTGCCTCGATTGTGAGTGCCGTGATTGAAAAAAGGAACAAATTGGCTCTGTCGACGTATTATTTTTTTGTTTCAGTCGGTGTAAGATCCATCACAGGCGCCTATAGAATTGATCCTAGAAAAGAAACAAATGGAATTTGGCGCAGATTGCAGTTGCGCAAGAAACGAATCGTGCCTGCATCTCAACTAGGCAATACGAGCCTCGACGCAAGTGAAAGTAAAAACTGTCGTAGCGCGTCAGTCATCGGCCGAATTTTCCTGCAGCGTCGTCCAAGGCCATTGGACTCGCTCACTCGTCATCGCTTGAATATTATTTATAGTAAAATGCCGTTCGATCCGCTGTTCACACATCCCTCCCGTCTAAAATGCCACACGGACATACATAAACATCGAGTTTCATGCAAAAATGTAGCTTCGGATGTAATCGGAGGCTGATCGAACACATGAATGTAAGTAGTAGGAGCCGGTAGCTGAGAGGTAAGAAGAAAGCCAAGGAGAAGACGCGATGCGCACTCGAAGAAAGGAGAAAAGGGCGGGAGGGGAGAAAGAAAAGGGTCGCAAACGGGTGGGCGGACAAACAGTCGGCATTTGCTATTGCGGCACATTCATTGGACTCGCGACTCTCTGGTCCTATGGGCCAGCGTTAAAATCGTCCCCTCTCTTTTTACAGCAGTATAGCTGTGCAGGGGCCAAGGGGTGGTAGGCTGGCGCGCGTCGATGAGATGAGACCGAGTCGATGTTGTCTCGATCTCACGCTCGCGTCGTGCCCTGCGACGTATACACCTGGGTAAGGCTCAGAATTTTTTAAATAAACCTGCGCTCGTATGTCACCGATCTTGACGCGCTTTTGGTATGTTATAGTACATGGTAAAAAAGACCCAAAACCAAAATTTTAGACCCCCTCCCCCCTCCTACCCCCCACTTCCGGTATAAACGTCCATTTTCTATCTATATTTTTTCTGAAGGCCTGAAGCAATTAAAAAATCTGAAAAAATTCACAAAAATACTTTTCAACAATCCAAACAACCTTGAATTTTTTCAGATTTTTTGAGTGCTTCAGGCCTTCAGAAAAAATTATTGAAAATTTTGAAAATTCATATACGGCGCTACGATGCAATACAAAGCCCGATCTTTTTTTCCACTTATTTTTGACATCAAAATACATAACCTCAAATTTTTTCAGATTTTTTAAGACAGAGCGCTGGCGGTTTTTAGCCGAAAAACGCCCTTTTTTTACGAAAATAATTTTTTTTAGGGCGATATGAAGCTTTAAAAAATCTGGAAAAATTTTTTTCTTGTTTTTCAGGTCAAAATACATAACCTTGAATTTTTTCAAATTTTTTAATTGAAGGCGATAGCATCTATGGCTAAAAAACACTATTTTTATGAAAAACGGTTCCTGGAACCCAGAGGTTCCGGTAAAAAAATTTGAAAAAATTTTTTTCGAATTCTTTGTCAAATTTTAATAAATTTTGACCGTCGCAAAACTTCGATTGGAGCTTCCTAGCTCATTCTAGAGAATAACAAAGATTCGAGCGAAATTCTGAAGACGTTCATCACAATTACATTATTTTTCAAATTTCTTCAGAATTTCGCTCGAATCTTTGTTATGCTCTAGAATGAGCTAGGAAGCTCCAATCGAAATTTTGCGACGGTCAAAATTTATTAAAATTTGACAAGGAATTCAAAAAAAATTTTTCAAATTTTTTTACCGGAACCATCGGGTTCCAGGAACCTTTTTTGTTAAAAATAACGTTTTTCGGCTCCAGACGCTATCGCCTTCAATTAAAAAATCTGAAAAAATTCAAGGTTATGTATTTTGACCTGAAAAACAAGAAAAAAATTTTTCCAGATTTTTTAAAGCTTCATATCGCCCTAAAAAAATTATTTTCGTAAAAAAAGGGCGTTTTTCGGCTCAAAACGGCCAGCGTTCTGTCTGAAAAAATCTGAAAAAATTTGAGGTAATGTATTTTGATGTCAAAAATAAGCGGAAAAAAAGATCGGGCTTTGTATTGCATCGTAGCGCCGTATATGAATTTTCAAAATTTTCAATAATTTTTTCTGAAGGCCTGAAGCACTCAAAAAATCTGAAAAAATTCAAGGTTGTTTGGATTGTTGAAAAGTATTTTTGTGAATTTTTTCAGATTTTTTAATTGCTTCAGGCCTTCAGAAAAAATATAGATAGAAAATGGACGTTTATACCGGAAGTGGGGGGTAAGAGGGGGGAGGGGGTCTAAAATTTTGGTTTTGGGTCTTTTTTACCATGTACTATAACATACCAAAAGCGCGTCAAGATCGGTGACATACGAGCGCAGGTTTATTTAAAAAATTCTGAGCCTTACCCACCTATATACATTTTACACGCGAGGGGTGGGTAGTAGGCAGGCTGCCTCACCAAGCGTACATTTATTCTCCAAATCGGGGCGAAATTTCAGCTTGCAAATGAGGAGAAAGAGTCTGTTGCTGCGGCGCGCGAGAGTGCCCTGCACCCCCCACGATAGGTTCCTTTTTACGTATGTGTATTTGCGCTCTCCCTGCGCGATCGCTACTAACTCGTGTGCGTGTGTAGATGTGTTCCTATAGGTACGTAGGGCTGCGGCGCACTCGCACTCAAAGGCCCCTTGCTCCTCGACTCGCGGATTCTTCGCGAGATACCCTTACATATTGATTTTTATTTTAGAGAAGAAGCAGCGGAGAGAATTCGAACCTAAGATCGTCGGATTTCAAGGCATGGCTTTATCCACAGGACCACGGGGATGTTTGCAATGTTACGTAACAGAGGTTCTTCAAAAGCAGCTTCAACGACTGCTTCACTTGTATACGCTCAAACGTTTCCAGAGCTCACACTGTACGCATACATTAGGATTTACGATTATTAGGTTAACATTCGTACAGACTATTATAGATTTCACACGGTGAGTTCGAATGCAATTCGACAGCAAATTCGAAACACAGCCCGATACTTTATTTTGTGTAAATTTATTATTGAAAAGAATACCCTCAAAACCATAAAGTATACTGGTTTTCATAATTTTTCTCGTGTCGATTGAGACATGCTAGGAGCGCAAAGTAGAATGTCAAAATTGCGTCCACTGGGCGTTAATGGGTTAAGATATATCTTTTATACTTCAAAATATCGTGTGCTCGTTAAAAGTTAAAAGTCATTCTTTTTTTTAATTTATTTATTTGAATTAACAGAAGAATATGAAAAATGTAATGATGCCAGACATACAAAAATGCTTTAAAATTGCTGCTCATGAACTTTGACCAGCAGCGGCCAAGCAAATTTTATATAAATCCTCGTTCTGCAATTCCTCGATGATCACAACAGAGAATCGGTAATCGGTAGTGTATCAGCTCCATGAAAGGATCCAGTGCCCAGCTCTGGAAAAATCCTCTCGATAGTTTCTCGCACAGATGATCATCACTAAGCTCCTGAGTCGTCTCGGGCTGCCAAGTCAACTGGAACGAGCACGAGAACTTCCAGTAGTCCTCATACAGTCATATGTGAATAGTTTTGCCACCTTTTGGGTCGCAGTCGCACAATTTCGTCGAGCGTCAATCTCGAACTTGTCTTTATTTTTTCTCTATTTTCATAGCTTCGAATCATTGATATACCTGGAAATATCCATATCTCTTTTGCTTTTTTTATAAACTTCTCGTCGTCGTACCAACATTTTTCAAGATCCGACGACTTCTTAAACAATTTGTACTCGGCGAAAATGTCATGATCATCAAGGCGTCACTTCGCTTCAGTTGATATCCTCTATTCTCAATTTTTTCGACAACGGCCAACGCGCTAGACGCTAGTCTCAATCTGTCATTGGACGTAATTCTATTACATGATTTATTATATCTTTCGGCGAAGTAACTGTCATCGGGAAAAACGAAACTAGACAGATCAGCGCCACATTCAAAGAGAATATCAATGCATTCTGGCCATAGATTCGCCACAGCCAACTGCAGCAGTGTCCGGCCCAACTTGTCTCGAGCGTCGACCTGCACCGACTGATTGACATCGTCGCAGATATGTCTAATAGTCTTTGATATTCAAAACTTTCTGCGGACTCGTTGGACATGTTTATTGTTCATAGCTCAAACACAATTACCAATCACTTATAACTTAAATTAATTTTTTTAAGAGAATAATCAGCTACAATTACTACTTCTTCGGCATGATGTTCACGCTAAAAATTGAAGAACACTCTAAGTAGAGTAGGAGTAGTTAAAAATTCAGTATTAATTTGGAAAGCGTAAACTGAGCATACTGGGGGGCCGCTTGCATTTATGACAATGCTGTAATAATACCAGCGGTATAAGGCAAGGCATAGGCAACGCCCTTACTTCGCTAGACTGACACTTTGAAATCGTTACCGATTTCAATGACTTCTCCTTCAAGTGTCCGTAGAAGAAGAGCAAACAAACACAAACAAACGAATTTGATGCGACTGCGATCGATACAGCATTTTCTCTTTTTTTAATTAAGAACTAAAAAAAATACTCGATCGAGCCGAATTTTTTCGGGTACTCGCACTGTCTCTTGGTAGGGATATGAAACGCGCGCGATCCAAGTTATATGAACAATAAAATAGCCGATCGGTTGCAATGGTTTTTATCGTCCCCCTTCTGCTCCGCTGTAAAACAATTAAACACTCGACTTGAGGGACCGAATTCGAGCCTACGCTCAACACTCGATTGTTTTTCGAGCTCGTAAAAGCATGGTACATACGAAGGTAGCGGCGATGCACATACGCACACATAAAATTGGACACATCGTCCAGTTGATCATCGGAACGAAAAGTGATCCTCTCACTCATATATAATATACACACATGTATAGCGGGGCTGTGCGAAGCTTTACGAGTGCTTTTCATGGGTCTATATAGTCCGCATGTGTTGGTACTGACAATTGCATGTGTTGTGTTGTGTTGTGCTGAGTCGGTGTACTGTACGTGTGACGTGGCTCATGTCGCAAGAGCCATCGGTATCCTTCGCATTCCCCTGTGCACGCGCGGGGCCTCGTATACCGTCGAGTCCCGGTGCCTGCACCTCCACCTAGTATCCTAGTGCTATTGGTGCATACACGTAGGCAGCTACATTCTCACACACCGACATTCTATATATTCTGCCCGAGAGAACTGCAGAAATTTCGAAAGAAAATAGAAATCCTTGTGGCACGATATGTGTGTGTGGTGCAGTACTTTGAGACATGCACCCGCGGCGAGACTCGCTTCTCGCGCCAATTTATATCTTCGCGAGATGCGAGAAAACACTGTCGTGCTCGTCGGCCGACGCGTCACGAGCGGGCCCGGCTGCAATTCGTAATTGACATTTTCTTTACGATATGGGGTAACGATTGGACAACTTTTGCCGGTCTCCAGTCCCGATGTCAGAAATTTTTCTCGCGGTTGTGCTTCCAATCCGGTCGGCGATTTCCGCGTGTCCTTGACGCAACGTTCGCGTTTCTTCATTGCTTCTCATTGCGGCATGTGTGTCGTCGAGAATGCCGATTCTCCGATTGATGCGAGTAACAAAAGCAGCATCGATTTTCCAATTGACGTTTCGGTCGCGCTAGCGCCAAATAATGGCTTTACGTACTCGCAGAGAAGCAAAATAATAACAACAATAATAATAGTAATAATAACAGCACGAGCAACAATAATAATAGCTCACTCGAGCCAAAGTAGGGGAGTGAAAATAACGAGGCTCGGGCAGTGGGGAAGTCACTCGATTCTCTCCCCTTCGCGCTCTTCCCCACCTTCTCATCCATATGCACGTTACACGTACGGGATAGAAAGAGAAAGGTACATAGAGAGGATCGTCGTCGTCGTCGTCGTCGTTTCCGACGCAGGCCCACCGCACCGAGTAGTAAGTACGTTCGTTACGTTTTTCCAAGTCGTTCCATCTCTCTCTCCCTCGCACTCGTGCGTATCGTGTATGCCGAGCGAGGCAAAAGCAACGCCACCGACGAGAGCCGCAGACTGCACGACACACACACAGACGTACTTACTTACTTACACATATATTGTAGAGAGAGACAGAGGAGTGTATATAGCTTCGCTGCGCGCCAGTAGAGTTTGGTACACGGTACTGGTGAGATACTCTCTTGTACTGTGCTCTACCTTACGACACGATCCAACGACTCATTACCCAACATTGTTATTACAGTATCGTTTCAACGAGTTTAATTCCTGTGGTGTGTACGTTTCGAAGCTACCAACATTGAAGGCTCGTTTTATTTGACTATCAATCGCAATCGTCGTCGTCACCGTGTTGTTTATGCGGCGCGCGAGCTCCTATTCTGCTGCTGCTGCCGCCGCCGCCGCCGCCGATACACTTTAATTTCGTCGTCTGCCCGCGCATCGTAGCGCTGGCATAGGACACAGTGTCAGCATCGCATTGTAAAAGCGTCTCTCGTAGTCTCGCAGTGCCGTAGCAGCGGCCAAGCAGCATCGACAAGTGTGTACGTGTGGCCCCTGGCCAGTGTAACTGCGTGTGCGTGTCTCTTGTGCATATCAGTGTTGTTGAGCGCGGTGTAGACGCGTGCCTTCCGTTGATGCCAATTGTTGCTGAAACCACTGCTTCTACTGTTGCCACCGCTGCCGCTGACCTTGCCCTCGGCAAGTACCTACTACTGGACCTGTGAGCCAGATCGACATGGCGTCCGACGAGGAAGTTGACGAGAGCTTCGCTGGTAAGACCTCGCTTCTTACTCATATTGCTATGGGCAGCTCTACTATACCTATTTTCCTTGCTGCGAAAATGCTTCTTCGCGTTGAGCGTACACAGTAACGTTTTGCTGGCGGCCGGCTTGTATAGCGTAGCCAGCTCTCGTACGCGACGAACATAACCTCAAAGTGTTGTGCGTGTGCAGCTGCTACTGCGGCTGCCCGCGGCTGCTTTAGGGCTTGTAATATGTTATATCCCTAGCGTAATGTCGCGCGCATTATTTCTAACCCTCATTTTTTCAAGCTGACTCCGTTCTCTCTGTCGTATGCCGCTGTTTTTATTATTATTTAGCACGATGCCTAATGTTTATGCTTGCGTGTATACTTTTTGCTCGTACATGATACATTTATTATTGCAGACACCGTTGGCGGAGCGGTGGCTTTCACCTATCGCGCGTTATATACGCTACTTTACGGAACGCCGCTCTGCGTAACTTTTTGACCGTTAAGTATTATGGCTCCTCGTGGACGATGTTCGCACGGAGTTTCCGTCTTTGTCGCTCTCGTTGCTTTTCCGTGCTTCTTTTTCATCGGCCAGTTTTCGTCTCACGCTCGCTTTACGAGAGTGTGCTGTATGCATCTCTCTCTCCCTCTCGTTTTTGCGCCTTCGCTCACTCACCTTGAGCTCGCTGCGTGCTTGCCTTAGCTCTCTGTACCTATTATAATACATCGCGTGCTGTAGCCTGTACACTTGTCGAGAGCTAAAAAATTACCCAAGAAAAAAAGCGATAAAATGACTCTTTGTCTTTGGCAGCCGATTTTAGTGGATTCGTGTCGAATCGCGATCATATCGAGATGATGCACACACATCTTGGCTGCGACAGCATCGTGCAACTCGCGTCTCTCATGACTTATCCACGTGATGATCATTCCGAGTTCTTTAAACTCAGGAAAATGACTTTTCTCTTCGATGCTTGTGTCAATTCGTATGGCTCAAATGATTGCAATAGACTTTTTCGAGAGCCTTGCGTGGTTGTCATACTCGACTCATTTTTAATCGTTGCGTTAGTCGAGAAAAAGTAATTACTCATATTGGGAGATTAGTGCACCGCCACAAGGCAAGAGAGAAAGAGAAAAGTCAATGCCATAATGGAAAGAATAATGGCGGCTAATAAAATTCAGCGCGTGATAAAATCTTTAAATGTTTCCTCGCGGAAAAGCCTCAACGTGTATCGTAAACGATCTCCTTTCAGCGTCTTTCTAACTCGAAAAAATTAATCGCCCGGCCAATCTGTCAACGATAGCATGAATTCAATGGTTAGTCACGGATGCGATTCTCGATGCAGTTACCATTCAAATGCATTTTCAACTCGAAACATATCCATTTTTCTTGTTTCATTCAACAAGCCGAGTCACAGTAGCTTATGTATTATAGTAGCGTTGGTGGCACCGAAACGAGCCGCGCGCAGCCGAGAGAGAGAGAGAAAGAGAGCGGCCCTTACCAAAGAAAATGGCGGCCGGTGGCACATACAACGATACAACATGAAACGATATACACAAGTATACGAGAACCGCGAGGGACACAATTCTCTCTCACGCGCGCGCACACACCAACTCATACAAACGGACATACACACACACGCATACATATAGGAGCACGTAAAGAGCGCGCATTCGAATACATAACGAAAGCCGACTCGATGCAACCGGACGCACACATGCAAAAAGTGCACGAATGTGTAGTTGAGATAGCATTGCTCTCTCGTGCCTTGCTCGTGTATACGTGTATTTAATTATGTACCCATACAGACGCGAGCGCGCGCGCGTGTACACGCACACAGCAACACACACACAGGCCCACGCACATACACTCGCACGAAAACACACTTACACATAGACGGGCGAAGCGACCCCGCGGCCCGGTGAGCGGCGCCGAGTCTGTGTGTGTGTGTGTGTGTGTGTGTATAATGTGTGCTAGTCTACGCTACGCTCGTTTCGTTCGCACGAGGTATATCCATCCACGTATGCATACGAAAAAGCCTCGAACGAGTGCAGCCCGAACCGCAGCCATAGAGACCAGAGCTAGTGCAGGATATCTATGCAGCTGCTCTATGGATGCGAACATTATTCGCACGCGAGATTGGCGCAAAACTTTATATATTTTAACAACGCGATCCGCACGGCTCCTTGTACACGCTCGCGTAGTTCCCCTTTCCCTTGTGCACTTCTTCTTTCGTTCTCTATCTCTCTCTCTCTCTCTTTCTCGCACCAACTCTCAAAGTCTCGGGGAGCTCGTAAGTGCGGCCGAAGAAAACAGCCTTGAGTTCGTCCTTTTTACCATTTTTTTTCACCTCCGTCTCTCTTTATCTCTCTCTCTCTTTTTAATGCTGTGCTATGTACTATGCTGCTGCAGCGCACACAGATACAAACAGTACACCATCGGCGTCATTTTTTCTCTCTTGCTCTGCGGTACAACTGGAATTGCGGTGTACGCGAGTTGTCATTCCAGCCAAATGCAACACGTCACGATGTCATGCACGTCGACTTGGTCTATTTTACTCCGCACGACTCGGCGCACGACGACCACCACTGATATACGTCGTGTTTACATGCCTACACATTCGGCGCCATGTTTGACTTTTAATTGAGCCGAATAAGAAGCAGCACATCTCGGCTCTCGAGCTGCGACGTTCTGGCCTCCCTCCCCCCGCTCCTCTCGTGCTTTCCGAGTCGCGACTCGATTTTCATTCGGCGTCCTCCACACGAGTCGCCGAGAAAAATCACGAAACGATTGATCTATCGAGCCGATACGCACTTAAACTCTAAATCCGACTGCGCTCGAGTAAACACTTGCTTCGCGTGATATAGTTTCAGAAAAGCTTTCGGAGCACACTTGCACTCGATACTATTTATGAGCATCGATCATCGCGACACGAGTCTATAAATATGCAGCTACTTGTCGACACATTTCGAGCGATTAATGCGTGAAATGCACCAGAAAGAGCATATACTTACACGGAGACGGCCGCCGCCCCTCTTGTTTTCAGCGAGGATAATCACGATGACGGATAATGATAAAATTTACGCGTCAGCGAGAAAGCCTCTTGACGAATCGCCTACTAAATTTTCTTGTCTTTCTGTCGATCCGTTCGCGCGGTGTTGCATGTATATGCTCCTAGCTACAAATGTTTTCAAATCTCCACGGCATATTTTTCAATCGTTTTTCTCTTCGATACTGATTATTTGAGAGCTTGACGGAAACGATACATCGACTGCAATAACGAAGCAAGTATGCCCAAACCGTGCCGACAAACATCTGTCGTTATTTCGTGTATTTTTAATGGGACGCATCGAGGAAATGCGGTCTTTTTGTACGTACTCCGGGCAACGTGTACAAAAACATCGATCGAACTATCGTGTCATCGATTATTGCACTTTCAAAGTCCGCGAAGGTATACGGACGCGCAACGTTCCATGCAGCGTTTATCGGAAAATTTTTTAATGGGCGCCGATATTAAAAATGTAAGGACGCATATATGCGGGAGGAGCACTCGGCGGAGCCTGTGTAACTTTGCTCTGTTATATCTCGCGAAAGGCTCTGCATATACTTTTTCTCTCTCCTTCGGCGTCTCGTCATCTTTCGAATTCCAATACATAAATATACGCGCATGTTGGAATGATAAAACGCATTTTCCATAAATTACAAGAGGGGTGTCTGCTGCTGCTGCTGCTGCTGCTTTTGCTACTTTTCTGCGCCACGACAGCCGGCCGGATATCTAGCAACGGTCTTTTCCGGACAGTATTGTCTGTCTTTTTCTCATCACGCTCGACTCTCTCTTTCTCTCTTTCTGCTGCCGCTCCGGGTATAGCAGCAGCGATGCCTCTTCGTCGACGTTGTCTGTGTGGGGGATATACGTATGCATGTAGATGGAGGGGTATATATGACGCGCCGTTGCTGCTGCTGGGATTCTTTTTTCGCGAGAAAAAAGAGCCGGCGCCCCGGTGTATACCAACACACGCACACATACATACATGCCCTTACGCGAGGCGTCTATATACGTATACATACCCACATACACGTAGGGTGTAGAGATCGATAGTGGCTCATTTGCTTATATGCTTAGCGTCACGCCGGGGAGAGAAAGAGAGAGACTTGCCGGGGTAATGCTTCAGGTGTATATGATTTTAAATTTTTATTCATGAAAACTTCGATATTTCCACTTCCTCTTTGTAAATAAACCTTGTTGCCGATACTTGTATTTTTAAAATTGCTTCAATAACATGGGCTGTCTCGTAAAAACCTCGAATCTTCAGAAATTGATGATATTTTTTCTATGAAATTTGTTTTAAATATTTTTTATAATAACTATATTAAATATTGTATATTTGTTTCAGGAGAAGATGAAGTTGAAGAAAGTGGTGCACAAGTTGCTGGAGCTCATGTAGAAGGATCAACCGACGCGGAAGAAAATCCTAGACCGGTGAGTAATTAATTCATTCACCGCCGTCATCTTTTATAACAATGAAACCTAACGATACTTATACTAATTAATTATTTCCTACAGGAGGAAGACGATGACTATGAGCCTGAGGAGCGCAAGAAGAAGAAGGGTAAAAAACGAAAGGGCCGAAGCGAAGACAAAAGGGGCAAGAAGAAGAAGAAAAAGAAAAAGTCTGATTCTGGCGATGTAAGTTTATTTAATCATTAAAGTTTAATAAATAATAAAAATAATTTGCTATGAAATGAAATTAACTAACCCGAATACTTTGCAGGAAAGCGATTATGGTGGCGGTGCGGTTGCGCCAGGCGCTGACGCTGACATGGATGTCGATGACAGCGACTACACGTCCAACCGTAAGAGTCGCAAATCGTCTTCACGCAAGTCGAATCACGGCGCCGCCCCCTCTACTCCTGCGGCCTCGACCCAGAGCCAAGAGCCTTCTACCGGTATGCCGACCGTCGACGAAGTTTGCAACACTTTTGGGCTTCAAGATGTGCCGATTGAGTACACCGATGCCGATTTCCAAAATCTCACAACCTACAAGCTGTTTCAACAGCATGTCCGACCACTTTTATCTAAGGAAAATCCCAAGGTGCCTATTTCCAAGCTTATGATGCTGGTCGCCGCCAAATGGCGCGATTTCTCCGAAATGAATCCACACACCCAACCGGAGGTTGACGTTTCGACGCAATCCGTCGACGAAGATAGAAATTCCAGATCGAATCGCAGTGCAATGGTTCAAGAAGACGAGGAAGACGAAGAAGATGACGACAGCGATCGCAAGAAAAAATCGCGCAGCTCAAGGATGAAGAAAGGCAAGAAAGCTTCAAAAGTTCCTACTCTCAAGATCAAGCTGGGAAAACGTAGACGCGGTAGTTCCGACGATGAAGTCGAAGGTAGCGGACAAGGTTCGGACCGAGATTCCGACATGGAGTTTGAACAAATGTTGGCCGATGCCGAGGACGTACCCCCAGAGAACGACGCCAAAAGCAACGAGGCCAATAATGAAGCACCCGTGGATCCACCGCCACGTAAGAAGGCCAAAACCAAATTTGGTAACAAAAGCAAAAAGAAGAAGAGCAAAAAGGCCGCATCGAAATTCCCTGACGGCGAAACCGACCACCAGGACTACTGCGAAGTTTGCCAACAAGGAGGTGAAATCATACTCTGCGATACTTGTCCGAGAGCTTATCACCTTGTTTGCCTCGAGCCTGAACTCGAAGAGACACCCGAAGGCAAATGGAGCTGTCCCCATTGTGAAAATGAAGGTGCCGCCGACGATGACGACGAGCACATGGAATTCTGTAGAGTGTGCAAAGACGGTGGCGAACTGCTTTGTTGCGACAGTTGTACGAGCGCCTATCACACGCACTGTCTGAACCCTCCCCTTGACGACATCCCTGACGGCGATTGGAAATGTCCACGTTGCTCCTGTCCACCCCTGTTCGGAAAAGTTGCCAAAATTCTCACTTGGCGCTGGAAAGAAGAAGAGGACACCCCCGCCGACGGTGAAGAACCCTCCACGTCCAAGGCCAATAATTCGAAAAAACGTCGAGTCCGCGAGTTCTTCGTTAAATGGGTCGATCGTTCTTATTGGGATTGTGACTGGGTCACCGAGTTGCAGTTGGATGTGTTCCACCCTCTCATGTTCCGCAATTACTCTCGTAAGTACGACATGGATGAGCCGCCCAAACTAGAGGAACCTCTCGACGAAAGCGACTCTCGCGTCAAGCGCATTAAGGACAAAGACAAGCAACACTCAACGAAGCGCGAAGATTACAATCTTGAGGAGCGTTTCTATCGCTACGGCGTCCGCCCCGAATGGTTGGTTGTCCACCGAATAATAAATCACAGACTGCAGCGAGACGGTCGCGCAATGTATCTTGTAAAGTGGCGTGATCTTGGTTACGATCAGTCTACATGGGAAGATGAACACGCCGACATTCCAGGATTAAAGATCGCTATCGAGTACTATCTCGATCTAAGGGCAGCCAACAGCGCGGATGGACCCACGAGAAAGGGGAAGAAGGGCAAAGGCAAAAAATCAAAAACGAAAGAACTCATGGAAGATGACGATCGTGTCCCTAGAAGGTATACCCCTCCACCAGAAAAACCCACAACAGATCTCAGAAAGAAAATGGAAAGACAACCAGAATACCTCGACGTAACTGGCATGCAGCTTCACCCCTACCAGCTCGAGGGTTTGAACTGGCTCAGGTATTCTTGGTCACAAGGAACAGATACTATTCTTGCTGATGAGATGGGTCTCGGTAAAACAATCCAGACCATTACATTTTTGTACTCTTTGTACAAAGAGGGTCACTGCAAAGGACCTTTCCTCGTTTCTGTACCACTTTCGACCATCATCAATTGGGAGAGAGAATTCGAAACTTGGGCTCCTGACTTCTACTGTGTCACTTATGTCGGTGACAAAGACAGTCGTATGGTAATTCGCGAGAACGAGTTGTCTTTCGAAGAAGGCGCCGTTCGAGGTAGCCGTGCGTCAAAGATCCGATCGTCGTCTATCAAATTCAACGTTCTACTCACCAGCTACGAGTTAATCTCCATCGACTCAGCTTGTTTGGGCTCGATCGACTGGGCAGTCCTCGTTGTCGACGAAGCTCATCGTTTGAAATCCAATCAAAGCAAATTCTTCAGGTTGCTGGCCTCATACAACATCGCATACAAGCTGTTGCTTACCGGCACACCTTTACAGAACAATTTAGAAGAATTATTCCATTTGTTAAACTTCTTGTGTCGTGACAAATTTAACGATCTATCAGCTTTCCAAAACGAGTTCGCTGATATATCAAAAGAAGACCAAGTCAAAAAGTTGCACGAAATGTTGGGCCCTCACATGTTGCGTCGTTTAAAGGCTGATGTACTGAAGGTATGTGTTTTAAGCTTAAAATTTTCACTCTTAACACAGTCTATTTTTTCAACTGGAATGTGCTAACTTGTTTTTTTTTTTTTATCATTTTTCAGAACATGCCTAGCAAATCTGAATTTATTGTGCGTGTCGAGTTATCACCGATGCAAAAGAAATATTACAAATATATTTTAACGCGCAATTTTGAAGCTCTCAATCCTAAGGGTGGTGGCCAACAAGTATCGCTACTTAATATCATGATGGACTTGAAAAAATGCTGTAACCATCCGTATTTGTTCCCGGCTGCTTCACAAGAGGCTCCAACTGGGCCTAATGGAAATTATGAGGTCGGAGCTCTCATCAAAGCTGCAGGAAAACTAGTTTTACTCAGCAAAATGTTGAGAAAGTTGCGCGATGATGGCCATCGTGTACTGATCTTCTCTCAAATGACAAAAATGTTAGATCTACTTGAAGATTATCTAGAAGGAGAAGGATATAAGTATGAGAGAATCGATGGTAATATTACAGGTACTCAAAGGCAAGAGGCCATCGATAGATTTAATGCACCTGGTGCTCAACAATTTGTATTTTTGCTGTCTACTAGGGCTGGTGGTCTAGGTATGTATTTAATTAATAACATTAAAAAATATTTATAATTATATCGAATATGAATGATCTAAACAAAATCTTTTTTTTGTTTTCAAGGTATCAATTTGGCCACAGCCGATACTGTGATAATCTACGATTCCGACTGGAATCCACATAACGACATACAAGCTTTCTCTCGAGCCCATCGTATTGGTCAAGCTAATAAAGTCATGATCTATCGTTTTGTTACGCGAAATTCAGTCGAAGAACGTGTAACACAAGTAGCTAAAAGAAAAATGATGTTGACTCATTTGGTCGTAAGACCAGGAATGGGTGGAAAGGGAGCGAATTTCAGTAAACAAGAACTCGATGATATTTTGCGGTTCGGAACCGAAGAACTTTTCAAGGAGGAAGAAGGCAAAGAAGATGAGGCCATTCACTATGACGACAAGGCCGTTGCTGAACTCCTTGATCGTAGCAAGGAAGGTATCGAACAAAAAGAGAATTGGGCGAACGAGTATTTGAGCTCCTTCAAAGTAGCCTCGTATCAAACCAAGGAAGGCGAAACCGAAGAGGAAGCTGATACAGAAATCATCAAACAAGAGGCCGAAAACACTGACCCTGCCTACTGGATCAAACTCCTGCGCCATCACTACGAACAGCAACAAGAGGACATCGCGAGAACTTTAGGCAAAGGCAAGCGTGTCAGGAAGCAGGTGAGCCGATATGTGCGTTACACACAACCATATATTTTTTATATTGTTTGGTTTTCAAACCTCTGTCTGCTTTTCTTTCAAGATCATGTCTTATCATTGGAGTGAATTTTTCCCTGAAAAAAATGTCATAATGAAGTTTCAGTTTATTGATTTATTTTTTTTTTTTTATCTATTTTTTATTACTATTATTTATTTATTTATTTTATTTTTTCGATTCAAGTAATTTGCTCCAAGTGATCGTGATCTCTTTAAGCTTTGGCTGTTATTGAAATTTTAATCTCAGTTAAGCCATGCTACTTTCTATTTTATGTGTTTGATTGCTAATTATCGATCTTGAAGTAGAAGTTGATCATTCTTTTTTATTTATTTATTTTTTGTTTTTAATCATATTTGTCACGTAGTTTTGTAGTCGGTATAAAGGATTTGGACTCGATACAAAGAAACTTACTTCGTCAGGGATAATAAAAAGTATATGGATCCACCTGATGAGTAAATTTATCGATAAAATAGACTTTTTAAATTACAGATGCATGATGACATATTTCTTTTAAAGTTTGAAAGTATCACCCACTCAAATCGAAACATGTGTTTGTGATTACAGGTCAATTACAACGATGGAGCCGTTACTGGAGATCAAGGCAGAAACGATGATCAACCTTGGCAAGACAATATGTCAGACTACAACAGCGATTTCAGTGCTCCAAGCGACGATGATAAAGAAGACGACGACTTTGATGAAAAAGGCGATGGTGATCTTCTCTCAAGACGCAGCAGACGTAGGCTGGAACGTCGCGATGAGAAAGATAGACCATTACCTCCTCTACTTGCTAGAGTTAATGGTAATATCGAAGTTCTTGGTTTCAACGCTCGTCAACGAAAAGCGTTCCTCAATGCTATCATGCGCTACGGTATGCCACCTCAAGATGCTTTCAATTCACAATGGCTTGTACGTGATCTCAGAGGTAAGTGTTATAAATTATTTTTTTACCTTAATGGTTGTAAACAATCTTATTAATTTCTCAATGTTATTTATTAGGAAAATCTGAGAAAAACTTCAAAGCATACGTATCATTGTTTATGCGTCACTTGTGTGAACCTGGAGCGGATAATGCCGAAACCTTTGCCGATGGCGTTCCCCGAGAGGGTTTGAGTCGCCAACACGTGCTTACACGCATCGGTGTGATGTCACTCATACGTAAAAAGGTACAAGAATTTGAACATATCAATGGCTACTACTCCATGCCAGAAATGATTCGCAAACCCGTGGAACCGGTCAAACCAGCAGATGGGGCAGCTACAACAGCAGCAGCTACAGCTACACCAGCTGCGCCTGCTAATGACGCCGGAGCTGCTACTGGCACAGCAAGTAGCACTACAACCCCAGCCACCTCTAATGCACCAAGTCCCAGTCCTGCTGCAACACCGACACCAGCAGCCTCAAAAGAGGGCGAAAGCAATGCCAAGGATGGTGAAAAAGACAAAGATGCTGCAAATAGCACAGAAAATAATGACGAAAACAAAACTAAAGATAATGAAACTGTTAAAGAGGATACAAAGAATGATGAAGAAAATACGCCCCCTAAAAAAGAAGAGGATGGTAAAGATAAAAAAGTAGAGAACGCTGCAGATGAAGGAAAAGAAACGACAGAGGCTGAAGTTAATGATAAAGAAGTTGAAAAGGTTGCGGAAGCAAAAAAAGAAAATGAGCAGGTTGTTCCAGAAGAAACTGACACTAAACCTTCCAAAGAAGAAAAAGCTGCTGTTCTTGAAAATGCCAACGCTAAGCCTAAAGCAGAAAACGTTGAAGACGATGTAGTAATTGTTAAAGATGACGACGAGGAAGCTAACGACAAAAAAGATGGCGAAATCAAAAACAAAGACGCGAAAGACAAAGAATCTGACACAGAAAAACCTGTGCGGAAATTCATGTTCAATATCGCTGATGGCGGTTTCACTGAGTTACACACTCTCTGGTTAAACGAAGAGAAAGCTGCATCACCTGGTCGTGAATTTGAAATTTGGCACAGGCGACATGATTATTGGCTACTAGCTGGTATTGTCACTCATGGCTATGGCCGTTGGCAGGATATCACGAATGACATCCGGTTTGCTGTCATTAATGAACCGTTCAAAATGGACGTTGGCAAAGGAAATTTCCTAGAAATCAAAAACAAGTTTTTGGCCAGACGTTTCAAACTGCTCGAGCAAGCTCTTGTCATCGAAGAGCAATTGCGAAGGGCAGCTTATCTCAATCTTACTCAGGATCCAAATCACTCGGCGATGGGATTGAATTCACGGTTTGCTGAAGTTGAATGTCTAGCCGAGTCGCATCAGCATCTAAGTAAGGAGAGCCTCTCTGGCAACAAACCTGCTAATGCAGTCCTACACAAGGTTTGTACCCTCTTTTTTCTGCTTTTAAATGATTCATCTGTAAAAAATCTATTTAATAATCAATTTGTTGTTTTTAATAGGTCCTTAATCAACTGGAGGAACTGCTTTCGGATATGAAATCGGATGTCAGTAGACTACCAGCAACCTTGGCAAGAATACCTCCAGTAGCTCAACGATTACAAATGTCAGAAAGGTCGATTCTTAGTCGATTAGCTACGACAACCTCTGGGGGAAATAATGCGCAAGCAGGACAAGCTGCGCTTTTAGCACAACAGTTCCCTGCTGGATTTGTCGCTGGACAAATACCAAGCACTTTTGCCGGTTCTGCCAACTTCGGAAACTTCAGGCCGAATTATTCAGTTCCCGGGCAACCACCTCAAGGTATAGATTAAATTCAATAAAATATAATCTTTGATAATATTATAACTGAATTTGTTAACTCACTGTTTTTGTTGCTATTTCAGCTTAAGTGAATCCAGGGACCGGTTTAGATATTAGTGTTTATAAGAAGAAAATGTTAAAACAAGTATGCATCGACTGAAAAATTAGGGGCGTATGCGTATATGTTATTAAAGTATGAATGAGTAGTATGCTGTGTAATCTTATTTTTCGTAAGTTACAATCATCTTCAGATAAGCACATTTTCTAGCTGGGTTCTCACTAGATAAAAATCGTCTTATGGCGAACGCTCTTAATGTTAATTAATATTAATAATAATCTTAAAATTAACAAATAAATTATATAAATATATATATATAAAATAAGATAATTCTAAATTACATCTTTCTGTATTATGTGGATAAATTCAATGAACGGAGAGAAGTAAAACATTTTTGTATTGCAAGGTGTGGACATGAATTCAAAGTTTAATGTTCCCTCAGTTATTTGGAGCAGAACTCGAAACGTGCTCGCGTTTTTTGTATTTATGAATGATTACGCATTACTTAAGTTTATTTAAGATAAAATGTATTTTTATTTGAATTTTAAGATTAAACAAAAATTTGTTCAAAACATTGTGTTTGCTGATTTATTTATTTGATCAACCATACATATTTATTCCAACATACTTTCTATACCATGACAGAAATCGATATGAAGCGAAAGAACTGTCACATTTTTTGCGTTGCAGACTGCAGTGATCACCTATATTTACCGAGCACATTTTGCGTGAGCCACAGCTCAGTCGTGCACGTACATAACTAGTCGGTTTCAATGTTCGAGGTTAGGAATGAGCTTCATCTTAGATTTTTTAAGAAATGTTATTCTCAGTATGTTAGAAATTATATGGTTCGGTAAAAAGAAAATTTCCAACTCCTTGCAAGTTTTCATAAGAATCAAACCTGGTCATAAACTTGCCATTGATTTGGATCCAAAATGGGACATCAGAAATGTCAAAGAGATAGTCGCGCCGAAAATGGGTATTTCACCAGACGACATAAGAATTGTGTTCGCTGGAAAAGAACTTCACAATTCCACAACAATCGAGGTTATTATTGATGATAGTTTTTTAAAACATTTCCTATTTGCAGTAGATCATTATTTTAAACAAAAGAAATATTCTATTCCAGGAGTGTGACCTTGGTCAACAAAGTACTTTGTTTGTTTTGAAAACTCCAAAGAAAAGAAGTAAAAATGATAATATTTCTACTGATATTATTGCGGAATCAATTTCAGAACTAGAATTAGATGACAGTGGTGGCAGTAAGCCTTTGAATGAAACTCTTCAAGATTTATCATTGGATGAATCCAATTACAGTGAATCAAAAGAGGTAAATTAATTGGCATTAATTGAAGCGTTGTGATTTCTAATTTTAATGATATTTATATGCATACAGGAAAAAGAGTCAAAAAAAGCTCATTTTTATGTATATTGTTCATATCCTTGTAAATCTGTACAAAATGGAAAGTTACGGGTGCGTTGCTCCGACTGTGGCGATGGAGCTGTTACAGTTGACAGAGATCCACAAAGTTGGCCAGATGTTTTATTACCTCAAAGAATAACTGTTCATTGTGAAAATGAACTTTGCCCTATCAGAGTTGATTCTCAAGGAGATACAGAAGCGCAAGTTCATTATGCTCAATTTTTTTTTAAATGCTCAAATCATCCAAGTTTAGGAGAAAAAGATGAAGCTGTACCATTGTACTTGATCAAACCTAATCTCGCTAAAATTCCTTGTTTAGCATGTACAGATATTAGGTAGGTAGATGAATTTTTGACGCAAATCATTTTATGAAACAACAATTTCAAATGTTAATGTTACTGCAGGGAGACTGTTATAGTATTTCCGTGTGAATCTGAACATGTTGCTTGTTTAGATTGTTTTTGTGATTACTGTAGAGTACGTTTGCAAGAAAGACAATTCGTTTTTGATGAAGAAACAGGTTACTATACTCTCAGTTGCCCAGCAGGTTGTTCAAATTCTTATATTCGCGAAATTCATCACTTTCATCTTTTATCTTCAACACTAGTTAGTATTTGTTTAAATATTTTTATTGAATTTATTATTTGTGAAAATCGTATGCATACATTAAATCAAATTTTCAGTATGAACGCTACCAAAAATTTGGCACTGAAGAATATGTATTGAAAAATGGTGGTTTATTATGCCCTCAACCAGATTGTGGTATGGGAATAATTCCTCCTTCAACAGAAAATGGTGCCTCTGAGGAAGAATGTAGAAAAATCCAATGTATAGGTGGTTGTGGAGTATGTAAAATTATAAATAATTTACCATTAATACCCGATATAATTTTTTAAATTGACAAAATGTTTAACCATTTTTAGTACGTGTTTTGCCGAAAATGTTTGCAAGGTTTTCACGTCGGCGATTGTGAAAACCAGCCTACAGCTACCACCTCTAGCTCTGGTCGAGGTTCCTACGTTGTCGACCCTTTAAAAACCAAAGATGTTAGTATTATTTATCTATATCATTATCATCATAAAATTATTATAATAGCTTTATCTCGTGGAAACGTTAAATATTATACATAAAACAAGTTTAAATTGTTAGTTTCTTGAGCTAATGTGTGTAAGAAGCGCCTGGGTAAATCCGTGCATGTATAAAATTAAGTATATTTGATGCTTTCGAGACAAACATTTTTATTTCGCTCGTAAAAACAGTCGCGCGTTTGATGCTCTCCACGGGATACCAATTAGCACGTATAATAAGTATTATTTACGTTACGGGGACGAATAATTAGCAAAGAGCTCGAAAAGTACTCGGGACATACACGTACATAATAAAGCCGGGCTGAGGAAGTTTAAATAACAAAGCTCAGCTAGTTCTTTTTTTTCTCTCTCATCTGTTTTTTTTTTCTTATGAAAAAAATTGTTTCTCTTTGCATGCGCAGGCCAAATGGGACGAAGCAAGCAAGAAAACGATCAAGATATCGACGAAGCCCTGTCCCAAGTGTCGCACCCCGACCGAGCGAGATGGTAAGTACTTTGTGTGCCTTATATGTGCGCGCGATTATTACGCACAACTTAACCCTTGACGATTCGTGTGCACTTGGCTGTGCACAGGCGGCTCTTCGTGCACACATAATCACACATAATCACGTCGCAGCACATATAGATTAGTTGTTTGTTTTCATCGATATAGCTTACATATTTTTTTCTTTCTCTTGTCTTGCTCCATAGGTGGATGTATGCACATGTTATGTACGCGAGCTGGCTGTGGCTTCCAATGGTGCTGGGTATGCCAGGCGCCTTGGACGAGGGACTGCATGGGTAATCATTGGTTTGGATGATCGACTCAGCGCTGCTCCGTCTTGTTATACACGCGTTATATTTTGTATACATCTATGATTTACCATTGTACTTTTTTGCTATGAGATATACGTAATACACATATATTTATCCATTATACAATTCTGGCTAGTTATTTTTTTTCGCCCGAGTGAATCCGCTTCGTTGGATTTGAACAAAAAGAAAACAATTTTGCATTAATCTAGCGGCTATTTGGCTGATCTCACAACTGTACTTGGCATTATGATAATTTACAGCTTTACCAATCGAGAGAAGGAAATAAACAAAAGAATGAAGGCTTGCCGTGAATGGATCATTGAGCGATTTCTCACTTTATCTCAACTTGCTCGCCACTTTGTGTCTCCTAGACCAAGTAAGAAATAGAATACCTACGTAAAAGTGAAAATAAATTACAAATCGAATGATTAATTGTTATACTCGAGCGAGCTACGAGTGCTTGTTTTAAGGCATGGTCGGCTTTTCTTCACTACTCGAGCGAATACACGAGATCTCTACGCTCAAATGCACAAAAGTCTATAGAACAACTAATTACAATGCCAAAAGAGCTATCAATCTAGGTAGCTGCGGAAAATTACGATTCGCAATACGGGGTAACCCTTGTGATTTTTGAATGAAATTATAGAATTATTGCTTATCTCGGCACGGCTAGGGTCCAGTGGCGCATTAGAAAAAGTTACGCTCCCACAAAAAACTTCCATTTTCCGCTCTCTATGGCGTTCTCGATAACCCATGCCAGCCAGAGTCTGCCCACCTAAAATGCACCTCATTCTCCTATACCTACGTCGTATTTTACTCAGTGTATACATCGGCTGCATTTTTTCTTAATCTTTGTTAAAGAAAAATTGCCTTTTCTCACGCCAATGCGCTGCATCGTCATCGTCATCATCCGCGGATTTTAGAAGTTAATTGTTGCACGCCACCTGTATACGAAGGATGTGTGGGTACCCGATTTCACGAATTTTACTCGAGTCGAGTTCTTGTCGAGTCGGAAAAATTCAGGTACTCGAGTCATTTCGGATATCCGACTTTTTTCAAGTAGAGTCAACTCACCAGTTATTGAAAGGTTTCCAAAACTTGTGTATAACTGTTACACAATTGTGAATTTGAAAACAATTATCACATTGAACTGCTACGGTTTATGCCTTTCTCTACCAACATTTTATGTACAATGAATTTCCAGTTATTTTTTAATAGATAAAAATAAATAAAAAGAAAATATTATATGCGATATAAATGAATAAAACTTTTTTTCCAGTAAATGGAGATCTTGAAACAAACAACAAACTAAGAATGAAAAAAATAGAGTATTAATAAATTTGCCATTCAGAGCTCGACACCCGCTTCTCGATAATGTAAATATAATTATAATCATTTCAGGTTTTATAAAATAATATTTCAAAATTCGAAAACAGTTGAAAGTACTCTCAAAAAATTCGATTACTCGAAAAGCAATCGGGTACCAAAAAATTTGAGTACTCGATTGAATCGAGTCAAGTTTGTTTTGGGTACTCGCACACCTTTACCGGATATCCAATACCAAGTTTGTTATTACGGAAGATAGATATTATAGTTAGGAAAAAAGTTTTTCAGCGACTTTATTGCTTCCTTTGAGAATTAGTGTACGCGGGGGAGAAATTTAATTTTCGTCGCAATTGACTCGTATCTCGTTGTCGTCGTCGTACTTGAGCACCGTGCAGCTGCACTCTTTATTAAAACAAGTCTATGTGTATACAAATTTTTTATGGCAACCAAATGATTTTCAAGGAAAAAATCGATGAAAAGTAAATTACAATTTTCATAGTTCTCCTATCTTCCCCTTTCACAAAGTAATCCACACGAAACGTCCTTACCGTAATGTCGAAGAGTTGGAAGAAAAATGCATTAGGCGAACTCGCGAAAAGTGAAAACAATCCCAGTATCTGTACTTGGCCCCTTTAGACTCTATATACATTTTATCAATAGTCTGAAAGTTCGACAATTCATTTTGATTTACAAGTTCGCCTATACGGAGAAATATTTGTTGCCGTGCAAGCCCGAGAGAGGTGAGAAAAAACTCGCCTCCACCTGTACTTTTAAATCAGAGTCGGATGTAAACTGGGCATTATTATTGATTACCGAATCCATTTGTCCAGGGAAAATTTCACGCCTTTGAACAAATGAAAATAGCGGTATAGTTGCGCGCGCGCCAAAGGCGAAGAGACGTGCTCAGGCGGAGAATGAATAATTGAGAATATCCGGGCGTCTCGCGTGGAAACGAAGCGCAGCCAAGACAGAACGCGAAAATAGCTAATCAAGCTTCGTGCATATACGAGGATGCTGTACGAGTATGTCCCTTTTCGTCCTGCACATAGTAGACGGCGAATTTGCTCGAGGCTTCGGACACACTTGTATTACCTGGCGTGGGCGTTTATTAGAAATAGCCTCGTGATTCGATTCGAAACTATCGATTTCGTTGCCGTGCACCGAGTCTGAACTCGCTCGGATGGATTCTTTTACTAAAAAAATTGGAAAAGAAAAAAATCGACATTCAATGTCTCGTGAAATATGAAACGATGTATCAAGGGGTCGCGAAGAATCATGGATAAGAATCATCCAAGGGATTCACCGAATTTCAACGGCTTCTGTGTAAAGTATCGCAGCTGTCGCTTCTCATCTCCCAGCTAGGTTTGCTCCGTTTCTTGCTTTTTTCTCTCTTTTTTTTTACGAAACAAATTTAATCGCGCAAAGAGCCCCCGTGAATTTTTACTGCGCACTTGAAATTCGTTTTCGTACGAGAACTTGGTCATCGAATTGTTTTGCACTGCAAAAGCGCATGAATATTAATTCTTGAGAAGCCTTTTTTATTCAAACAACTGAATTTTTCCAAATTTTATTATTGGTTGTATGAGATTTGTCGAGTATTCATTTATAGATACGAGGAAATTAAATGCTAAATGTTAAAAAAAATTAAATAAAAGACTTGAAATAAATTAATCATCATAGTTTGACAGGGTAATTTTTCAGTCATGATTGAGCAAGGAATAGTGTACACGTACATTTTTAAAATTACTGTGAAAAGGGCTGGCCGAAATGTAAAAACTTTGTATGAGATTTTTTCTTATTTTTGCGTTTCTTTATACAATAGCTTTGGGATCTACATTTTTTACCTATTATGATATACGTAGATAGAAAAAATTTCCCAAAATTTCGATTCTGCAGCGACGTTAATTCCATTTAGAAAATAATATTTCCCGGCTTGCATACCCTTTTCAATTTATGAAACGTATTAGCGTACTTGACACGGCTGTAAGTTTGTTTCGGATTTCTGAATTTTCTCTCTCGCACGCGTTCTTATGTATAAAAGCTTGCGGAGAGAAAAAAAAACGACAAGATCTCGTTTGTATTACATCGTTTCTTTTTTCCCCGTCATCTTCCATCCTGCTTATCGCGAGCGAGATAGGAATATAAGTGTTATGGATTCGCATAACACAGCCTCAGCTCGCACGTATGTGTGTGTGTACGCGTTGCACGCGCTGCCCGCCAGTGGCGCCACGCGCGGTGGCCTCAGGCCCGACGGCATACGCGACGGTCAGACAGGCTCGAGCGAGCGATGAGCAAGGCCGCAAGCGGCAGACGCTCTGAGATAAGGCAGCAAGCTGCGAACCAACCTTTTATTACTTTCACTGTTATTCTTCTACCTTTGTTAATTAAAATTAATCAATCATTAACTTTCAAGTGAGTTTTTTTTCATTTCGCCACCTGACACCTGACACTTTGGTTGAACCATAATATAAGAAACGTAAGCACATAAAAAAAAGCTTATCATCGTCCTTGACACTCCTCATCCATAGTAAAAAGCAGCTAGTCACGCGCGCGTATACATACGTATTTGGATTCGCGTATACCGCGGAGATGTTTTTTCTTCGTGTATCCTCGCCGAGTCTGATCCTGCAAAAATCCGCAAAATTTATACGATCCTCGCTCCTTTTTTTACATATTTTTGCGCGCTACTCGTACGCGTGGCAATACTAATCCAATCCTCTTCGAGAGTCTATTGTAATATTCATGGTCCGAACGATTCGTGTACGGAAGACTTGACAAATGTGGTCCTTTACGCGCCCATCCGCGAACGTATTACGCGCATGTCCTTTTGGCGGAAAAGCTCATGTGTGCGTGTGTGCCAGGCAGGTGACTTTTTATACGTAAGTGCAGAGCTCTCACATTAGCGTACTTACAAGCGAGAGTTGGATCGATAAACACTCGGCTTTATAATAACTGTACCGAGCACGAGTATAGGCGCGAGAATAGGTAAAGCGGCCTCTTTAATTTGATGTCGCCGACGCCGAGTCGAGTGGGCCGTGTCTGCGGCCATTAAGAAAATCCTATCGAACGTCGAATAATGAGCGGACTATTGCTCGAGGGTCGTATTAGAGTACGTAATTGTGAATTGGGCTATTTCTCATAATGAGCTCGCGCTATTTCATAAATTTATATATTCGAACTACGCCGGGCATCAATTGTACATTACGCTTGTGTAAAATATATCGCGATCACTCGAGCAACTGCTTTTATTGTACATCCGTGAGCTCGGCCGGTGATAACTTTGCTTCCGTACGATCGCGATTGCGACGATGATTTATCAAATCTTCACGAGCTGAAATGACAAGGTGGGAAAATCGACTGACACTTGCGAAGCTCGATCGAGCTTTAAATAGAACAGAGAGAGAGAGAGAGGCTGTCAAATTCGTACTCCTACGCATTTGTTTATTTGATATTTTTTTGTCTCTCGACGAGCGCATCAAAAGTCTATATACAATCAATGGTCGTGGCCTCAGTTCTCTCACGATAAGTCGAAAAGCAAATAAACAAGAAAAACACGGGCAGTGGTAGCGGCTCGCGCTCGTGCTGTTTAGCCGCACTACACGCAGCCGCTCGCGCTTATTATAAGAAAAGACAAGGTTTCAAGTGTATAAACACTTTGGGCGTAAAATGTGTTTACTCGGGCGCGTACGCGTATAGAAGCGCGCACGGCAAAGAGTTAAATCCGGAAAGCTCGACGTAATTGGCTCGAAAGTGCTCGCGTACGTAGCGTATAGT